TGGTAAAGTGATGAAGGAAGTTGAGAATGATGATGAGACACCTGTTTCATCTGCATCACCATCATATAATCATCCCAAAAAAAAAAACACATAAAAAACGGACCAGCCAAAAAAAAAAAACGTTCCAAAAGCATTTTTATAAATACACACACATACCACTATTATATTTGCTAATGACGACGATGATGATGATGATGATGATTCTGTTGTTTCTCACGACGATGACCACCACCCCCTATTATAAATGATGATGATGATGATGATAATGATGAGAAATTCATCATATCCAAAAAAAATGTTATTTAGGCGGTACCTGATATAGTGTGAGAGAGAGAGAGAAAAAGAAACAATAATAAACCATGAATAAAATGAATCAAAAAAAAAATTATCTACAAGCAAATGGTAAGGGGAAAAAAGTAATCTTTCCAATATTGATTTTCATTATCGATTTTGTATCGATTTTCACCTTCAACATATGCGAATAAATTGATTGAATTTATGAATTTTGTTCGTTTTTTTGGTAAATATTCCTGCAACCACAATTGTTTATTTTTCATTTCATTTCAAAAAAAAAAAACAAAACATTATCCTCTATCATGGCTACATGTCACATGTTTTCATCATCATTCTCATCATCTATCCATAGTATGTTTACAGGTAATTCAATTGGATTCCCATCACTCTACCACCACCATCATCATCATCATCATCATCATCATCATCATCAAAACAAATCGGAAGGTCCTTTTTTTACATTCAACACAATTGTGACAATGTTTATGTTTATATTAATAAACAGAAGAAATGGAAATAATGGAAAAAAAATTTGATGAGAGAATTCATTTCGTTTCCATTAGGAAAAAAAATCCAACAAAGGAATGGAAAGAAGCTAAAAGCAAAAAGAACAAAAAAAACAAAAAATCTTGCAAACAATATGAATCAGAGAGCTAGAGAGAGATAATTGGCCAATTCAAATCACAGTGGGGGGAGGGAGAATATCTTTTTCATTTCATCTTTTCATCTTTTTTTTTTTTTCATGCACAGAATTCATTCAGTAAAAAAAATGAATTTTCAATTTCAAGTTCACAGACCATTATAGCATTGTGTTTAAAAAAAAATCCGTCAATCTTTCTCTTTTCTTTTATATCAAGATTTATAAAGTAAAAAAAATTGTCAATAGAATACTGATGATGATCATCATTCATGATGATCTTGTGGCTAAAACTTATCAATGGAAATATATATGATGGAAAAAAACTGGCCAATTTAAACATACACACATACACTGGATTCTTGAAAAAATGAAATAAAGATGAGTGAAATTCTCTCATCATACATATCAATCTATGCATCATCGCCATCAATCGTGTATGAAAAGAAAATGTGAAAAACAAAAGAATAGCCAATCAGTTATTAGGTATTTACAAATAAAAACATGTGTCTGAATGTCCGTTATGGTGATGACGATGATGCATAGATTGATATGTATGTGTGTGTGTGTTTTGTTTCGGTCGTGGAATATTTTTCATGTCATCTATAACCTCCAACGACATCATCATCATCATTGCATATAATTTGATAATTGTTTATTTAAACATTTAAAACATGGACATGAATGTATATATTTAATTAAATAGTGATGATAGGAAAGATGGTAGGAAAGGGAACAATATCCGATCTAAACAGCAACAATAACAACAACAACAACAACAACAATCCTACAGGTGGTGGTGGTGGTAACATGTGGCCACAATATTTAAACAAACACACAATACATGCACACACATACACACACACATAATTTAATTTGAATCAAATCAAATCATCATCATAATAATGAAAAAACATTGAATTGTTGTTCATTGCATTATATTTCTGTTCAAAGGGTAATGAATATATAAATATATTGATGATTGAATCAATTAATTGATTTGAATTAAATTTGATTGAAATTCAATTGATTTTCAAACACGAGCGCACACACACACACACAGAGACAATGACATTCAATCATATACAATCATTTTATTGCACGACAAACACGTTTTTTTGTACAATTTTCATTCTTAGAAAAAAAATTCCTGACTACATTCGATACAAAACACCAAAAAAAACAACAATTTTCACACACACACACAAAGACACAATTTTCAAGATCAATATCGATGGTGATGATGATGATCGAAATGATGATGGTGAGTGGGCAAAAAAAAAACCAATTTCATCAATACAATACAAGGTTGGCCCTAGATGACCACCAAAAAGAATTCTTACCCTTATAGATACACGAATCATGCAAACCTGATGCTATTGCTGCCAACAACAACAAAAAGAATCAAAAAGAAAAAAAATGTAAAGAGGATCAAAAAATGTACTTGCACAGAAAGAAAAAAAAATCATTTATATAAACCTGAAATTCAAAAGTTAAAGTAGAATTTTTAAACTTAAACTTAAAAAAATCAGAAAATCAGATTAAAGAAAAGAGAGTGATGGTGATGGTGATGTATACCACGAAGCAAAAGAAGAGAATCATGAAATCTGAATGGTAGAAAAAAAATTGAAATTGAAATTTTTTGCTGCTGTTGTTGTTGTCGTTGTTTTTTACCATTTCATTCGGTGATGATGATGATGATAATGGGAAAAAAAATTACTAGGTTAATCACCGGACTTCACTACTAAACAACCACCATCATCATTCACCATATTCGGACGATGGTTGTTGGCCCACTGACTGTGAACCAAATTTTAAAAATTTTGATTTTTTTTTTCTTCTATAGGATTCATCATTATTCAGTCATTGATTCATTGTATAATCTGGTTTAGTTCAAACTTCTATATTTTCTTCTTCTTCTAGAGACTTCTTTGGTTCTCATCATCATTGATTTTTCAGTTCATTAAAAAAAAATTTTTACTTTCAATTTACCACCACACACACACACACACTTCTTATTCTTATTTCGACCATTCAAATTTCAATTCTTCTTCTCCTATTTGCGATTCACTTTCGCGTGACGTAACATTTCATTTCAATTTTTTTTCCTTACTATCATTCACGGGGTCAACTTGTTGTTGTTGTTTTTTTTTTTTGTTTTGTGTTCGTATCTGGTTGTAAACCATCATTTTTTTCTGAATAAATCAAGAAAAAAAGGTGGTGTTTTCGACAAAAAAAAACTTTACTTTCACTTTTACACTTGGACCCTGGCCATTCATAGAGAGAGAGAGAGAGAGAGAGAGAAAAGAGGGTCGGTGTATCTACCTGTCGTACCTGTGTCTACGTGGCCATCATCATTATCATCAATAGTCTAGCTGTGCCATCAACACGTCGTTTTCATTTCGTTGTTATTTGCAAGTTTGGCGCCGCTTTTTCATCATCATCATCATCATCATGGACAACAACTTGTTGTATGGTCCATAAAAAAGCGAAAATACAAAAAGAGAGGATATCATACACCGATTCGGGTTTCTCTTTCTCTTTTGGTCATTATTATTATGTAATATATAAATTGATGATGATCGGTTAACGTAAACGTTTTATTTTATAAAAAACCAAAGGTTAGACATCGATGACCATCAAATATATTTTTTTGTTTCAAAGTCAATCGATGGTCATAATAATCATCATCATCATCATATGAATTGTAAATTATGATGATGATGATGATGGTGTGATATTGTCGTCATCATCATTTTTTTCAGATTGTTCGATTATGAGAATGATGATGATGATGACGATGATAGGACAACGACAGGTGAGATTCAAATTCAAACCTGACGGTGACGGTCAATGAATGGCAAACGAAATAAAGTTGCCATTTCCACCACAACAACAACAACAACAACGACGACGACGACGACTATGATTATGATGGAGATAATAAGGAAATGCACAAAAAAGACCAAAAGAATGAAAGAATAAAAAAAACAGAAAGCGAGACAATAAAAGAAATATATTGTTTGATCAACCAAGCCTGAAAGATAAGGCGCATCAACATGGTGATCATTTGAAGGAGAGAGAGAGAGAGAGAGAGAGGCAAACCACAAAAACAGTTGTGACAGTGAGTAAATAGCCAAAGAAAAAAATGGCCAATGGCCAAGAAAGAAAAAAACCACGATGAACGACGATGATGATGATGATTTGATCCATACAAAGTTGATTTTTTTTCTCTTGTTGGCGAACAAACACAAGAGACAAGGAACAAATTGCTTAAATAATCGTTGTTTTTGCTGTTTTGCCGAAAGAAACAAAGTTATTGTTTTTTTCTTTCTTTTTTTTCATCTTTAAGACAGGCATACCCTCTGAAGTTTTGATCAACTACATCCGTAGTCGTATATGAGAGAGTTTGGAAATTGAACAAAAAAAAATGTGTGATAAATAAATTATTTAACATGCACAAGAACATTTACTCACCAAATACAGACACAGACCGATTATCATCATATATAATAATACTTGAACTTGAACTTTGAAAATTGATTATGATGACGGAAAGGCCAAGTATGAATAAACACACAGTTGATAATATGGTCTATGCGAAATGTGTCAAAAACGAAACAATTACACACACGGTTATTACGAGGTTTTTTTTTGCCACTTACCTCTCCGATTATTAATACTTTTTTTACTTGTTATTGTCGAGGTTTGTCACATGAATTTCGAATGATGATTTGATTTATTTATGATTGATTTTGAGGTGGAAAAAAAACCAATTCCCGAATTCGAATAAATAAATTGAAAAAAAAAAAAAACACCGAGGGCAGAAAAGAAAAGTTAAAATGGCCAATCATTCGCGGTCAAAATAGACGACTTTTTCGAACATAATACCAAAAAATCACATGACATTTTATATTGTCATCCTGTTTGTTGTGATGATGGATGGTTTTCAAATTACAATCCAAAAATGAAATGGATCAAATTTCAAAAATTTGAAAAAAAAAGTTTTTTCTCCACAAAAATTTTTAATAATGACTAATTTTTATCGTTATTATTAGATCATGATGATGATGAAAGAGTTGATTTTCGAATTCTTTTTTTTTGTTTGTTTTGTTTTGTTTTGGTTCACGTTTTAATCGAAAATCATTTAAGGTAATGAATCAATTAAACGAATTTTTTTGTTGTTCATTTTTGGTTGTCATTCACCAACACAACAGAACAAAACGCAAAATCCTACGCAATAGTTATGCAATAATTCATTGAAATGTGGATATTATTATATTCATCAGGTAAGTCATAGTGAGTGAATGACAAAAAAAATTTTTTTTTATGAATCATTTTTTTTCTTTATCCAAAAACAAAAATAGAAAAAAAGTTTTATCAAATCAACCGAACACACAGTTTATCTGATCACCGGAAATCCTGAAACAACGTTTATCAATCAATTTGATATCTTTGTCATTGACAACGATTATTATCGATTTTGTTTTTTTTCTGGGCATCCAAATGTTCGACACAACAGCCATTATTTTTTTTTTGATTATTATCAAACGTATGTTGTATGTTATGGAACGACGAAATACAATCAAGATCCATATGTAAGTGGAAAAATTTGAATTGAATTCATGTTTCATGTATGCAATCGATTATCGATTATTTTATTTTTATTTCATGTTTTTTTTCTATTTGGCATTCACTTCGATCCATAATAATATAAGGCCATTGCCAATTTGTCCAATTTTTTTTCATTGTTTGTTAATAATTTATCAATTAATCGATAAATGATGATGATGAAGATGATGATTGTTGATGATGAACCAGGTATGTTCACCTTTTATTTTGTTGTTGTGCAATAATTATCTTTTTTTATTTCTCTCTCTCTCTCTCTACATATCTTGTGATCGTGATGAGTGTGAATGTAATGAAAAAGACACTGATAATGATCATTCAACAATTTTTTTTAGTAATTAAAAATAAATTATACACACACACTTGGTCACACATAGTCAGCTTGCATATGTCAATGATAATGATGATGATGTGGTGATGGCAATTATAATCATCATCATCATCATCATCGAAAATAGAAACTGAAAAACCTTTGAAAGGGAAAAAAGCATTTTCAACGAGGCCAAAAAAAAGATAGATATGAAAAAAAAGTGATCGATCGATATGATGACACCTGAATCTTTTTTTTTCTTCGAAGAATTTCAAAAATTTTCCTTTTTTTTCGTTTTCACTTTCATTTATTCATATATATACATGGGAGACAGGTTAAATCAAAAAAAAAAAAAAATTTCCAGGTTAGTGTCCAGAGAGAAATGATGAAAAAAAAATTCAATCCTGGGGTTCAATAAATTTTTTTTAACCAGAAGAAAAAAAAACGAAGAAAAAGATTCGTTTTTCGTTATAATGATGATAAACGATATATACACACAGACATCATCCAGGATTTTCAACATTGGCAAATTCATTTATTACAGGTAAATACCGATTATGAATGACTGTATGTTTTTTGACATTTTTTTTTTAAATTTATTTAGTGACGAATTACGAGGATTAAAAGCAGTTGTGTTGTGTTCAATATGGACAAAATGATGATGTGGTCTGTATTTTTTTTATGTTTTGTTTTGTTTTGTTCACCATCATTTATCGATTTACTTTCAAATAGAGACAATTTCCCAGTAACGAAAAAAAAACGAAAAAAAAAAAAAAACATAATGATGATATATTGTTGGATGGATGAAGAAAAAACCCGCGCGACCATGTTTGTGTTATATATATTATATTGTATTATGTAACATAATGACGAAATACTGTCATTATCGATACATGGTCCTTGTGTTAAAAGAAAGAAAGAAAATTTTTGACCGTCCATCATTTGGAATTTGTTACAAACAAACATGAAGAAAGAGAAGAGAAAAAAAATTATACATTCATTTGGTGGTGTTTGAATCGAAAACCGGCTGAAAATCTATTGAATTCCTAAAGTTCAAGATGAATGATCGAAATGTGAACGAATGAATGAATGAAGAAAAAACCTAACAATTGCAAAACAACAGCAAATGTTAATTATATGGTTGAATCAACAAACACTTTTATTTTGCTGAAATGATTATTTTTCGTCATGGTCCATCATTGGTCATCATACAAGAATAACGACAATCAATTGGACCCTACTTTTGTATATGATTGGAATTTGTTTTCAATTTCAATGTCATCCAATTATTTTGACATAATGAAAGTTTGTTTTTTTTTCATTTAAGAAATAATGAAAAAAAAATTTCAAACTATTCATGCACAATAGAAGAATTGGAATCCAATCAAATCAAAGAAAAAAAAATTCGATTCGAATCATTGATCGATCGATCATTGGTCATGGTGGAAACAAAAAAAAAAAAAAAGAAATGAATGAATGAACCCTTCAACCCTTTATTTCAATGGATGAACGAAAATGAAAATACTTTTTATTTCAAATTTTACCAATATACAAAAGAAATGGACAAAATTAATTTATTGATGATCTATAATCGATATATCGCTTCGATAATTTTCAAAATTATGTTTCTCATTTCTTGGCCGGATGGATGGCCTCGAAGGCTCATCACCATCATCCGAATTGTTTTGAAAATACAAATGTTCAATCAAATCATCATCATCATCATCATCATCATCATTTTTTTCTGTACACAATCTCGTCAACATCATCATGTTCACTATCTATCGACAAAATGGGAAAAAAAATTAAATATAATAATAATGATAATGAAATATACAGTTGCAAAAAAAATCCATTCAGAAGAAAAACACGTAGACCTTGAACACATCTTCATCATCATCGTCATCATCAGCATCATCATCATACGTATTCAAGACAAAGACTTGTTGAAAATAAATGTAGAAATGAAGCAAAAGAAAAAAAACAATAATGGAATTCTGGAATTGATGGTACCATCGTCATCGTCGAATTCCATTTCAAGATGGAATGAATTGAAAAAAAAAAAAAATCATACCACACAATGGAAAAAAAATTTCGAATATTTGATTATGGCCAACTACTACTACTACTACTACTGATGTTGCATATCGATTATTAATAATCGACATTTTTTCGAGACAATGCAAATAATGGTATATAGTCATGTATAAATTATCTAATTATGATAATTTATTAATTGAATTAATTTTTTTTCCATATAGCGATGAAATATTGTGGAATGATCATTAAAAAAAAATGATGATGATTCATCTACAAATACAATCGAATTGAAGAAAATCAATCAAAATTGACCACAGCATAAATAAAATGAAAGGGGGTCCGAAAGATTTTCATATTTTTTAATCTTTGATTTTTTCATTCATTTCAACATAGGAAAAATTTCCAGACATTCGCTGCAATTAATTATGATTTTTTTTGTTTGTTTGATTGATTAATTGGTTGATTTGGAAAAAAAATCGAATATGAATGAAAATTTTTTTTTATGAACAAATTCGAATTCGAATACAAACCATGACCACTGATGAATTTTTTTTCCGATGTCATTTGGTATGTTAATCGATTGCTAACACCTTTTTTTATTAATGATGACGTCGTGGGTGTGAATGTAACAAATGTTTTTGCTGTTTTTTTTTTTTTTTTTGGCCAAATCAATTAATAATTTTTGTCATTTTCTATTCTCTCTATTAGTGTATCTTTTTGACCAGAAACATTTTTCTGGAAAATGAATTTCAAAGAAGAAGACACGCAAACACACAAATCATTTGAAATTTGCATGACAATTACTGATGTTGAAAGAGAATACCATCCTAATTCAAATTCCAATTGTCATCCATTCGACATGGCTATCCATTATTATTAACGTAATCCTCAAATAATTTTAATGATGGTAATGATGATAATGATTAAGATTCTAATCCAATAATCCATTCTTCAATTTGTCTTGTAGATTTCTTAGGAACAAAAAAAGAAAAAATCTGATTTCATTAATGATTCATCATCATCATCATCATCAATCTATGGATAAAATGTTGAAGCCCAATCGTGATTGAAACATTATGAATAGAGCAAACAAACAAAAAAAAAATGAAAATTTTTTTCGACAATCAACCAATAAGCCACCGAAAAAAATATGAAAATTTTCCTTCATTTTTCCCTTTTATTATTCATGTCAAGGACATTGGGGTATATGATTTGTCGACGATTGCAATTTATTATTCTTTTTTAATCATCTCATACACACAAATAGATTTCGATTTTGGTATGAAATTTTGGTGTGCCATTATAATGCCATTCATTTCATTATATATTAATAGTAATTTTCATTCTTTCTTTCTCTCCTTGACACTTGAATAGCCGATAAATAAATGAATGACAAGATAGTAGCCATTCATCATCATCATCATCATCATCATCTTGGTATAGACAAGAAGAAAATTATTCAAAATTTCGGAAGACAAAATTGATTGGTGAATATAATGGGAGAAATAATTTTTTTTTAATGAATGAATGAATGAATCGAATCAAAAATTGAAGAAGAAAGAAAAAAAAAGATTTTGAAGATGGACACGTGTTTGTGTGTGTGTAATATTGGTATGTGAAAAAAAAAAATTTTATCTCATCATCATCATCAATAATCCCCTTTCTTTTTTTTTTTTTTTTTTTTTTTTTTTTGATTTACCAGACGATAAATTCCCCGACCGGAAATTGATTACAATTTATAATTTTATTATCACGAATCGAATAATCAATTATTTAATCATTCTTTCATCATAATCATGGATTTAAATGTGGTAAAAAAAAATAGAATGTAAGCACCGGAAATATAAATATGAAAAGATGAATGATTGCATCGTTTTTTTTACTGATCAGTAATTATCGATTAATCAAACAAGAAAATGTCAACAAAAGATAAAAAAAGAATGCTGCTGCCGATGATGATTATGGTGTTTAATTTCAATTACGTATTATTCTGATCGTTGTGTGAAACCATCTGCCAACTTTTTTTTCCTGAAAATATCGAATTAAATTGAATGGAATTTTTTTTTGTCCAATCATCGTCGTGATCAATAAAAAGGATTCTTTGTCGTTGGTAAGTATACATTGTATCGTGCGAATGAAAACGAAAGAAAAAAAAGACGGTCGGAGACATTCGTTCATACAATATATATGTGTATATACAATGTGTACAATTATTGTACGCAAGTCAATCAAATCGATGAGCAATCATTTACACACGGCATCATTGATCAATCAACTGATCAATGAATGCGAATTGATTGAATTAATTAATTGATTGATGAATAATCAATATTTTTTTTCCATGTGCAACATTTTATTTTCTATATTCAACAATAGACATCGGCAACAGAATGAATGAACAGAATTCAATTTGAAAAGATCAAAATGTTCTGTAATGATTAATTAGATTAACCTTGAAAAGATTTAAAAAAACAATCATCGATCATCATGATGGAAGTGGCCATTATGATCATCGACAAAAGAAAAGAATAAAACCCTCAAGTGTTTTATTATAATAATAATTTGAAGACGAAACAAACAAACAAAAAAATTCCATCGATTAAATATTGATCAACGATTCAGTGTGATCAGGTATTGTTGGTTGGTTGGTTCATCCGAAAATTTTCAACCATTCTTCCTGTATTTTTCATTTGAAGGGTTGAAGACGATAAACAAAGAAAAGAAAATTTTTTCCATCTGCGAAATATTCGCGAAAATCAAACAATTTGAAATTGAATATTGCCAACTTTTAATCATCATCATCATCAAGTAGTTGACGACCACCAACAAGAAAAGAAAAATATTTTTCAATCCGGTCAATAGAACGAAATGTTAATGAACTGAGATGTGTAATGTTATTCAATGAATGAGAGAGAGAGAAACAAAAAAAAAAAAAAGAAAAGGCCAATAACCATTTCATTTCATTGGACGCACTTGTTAACCCTTTCAAATGAGAAATAAAAAAAAATGAAATTTTCAAAATTCATAACTGACAGCTAGTAGCCATCTTATCCTTTCATTTAAGCAAAAAAAAAAATTCCAATCGAAGAAATTTTCATGATATCAAGCCATCAACGTGTGTGTGTGTGTGTGCATGTGATAAGGAACAAAAGAATGTTTGAAAGTTTATTATCCACCATCATCATCATGGAATTCCTTTTTTTAATATAAATATTACATCATCATTATAATATGAACTCTTTATATGAAAAGGGTTATTTGGCTATCGAAAAAGATTCTGATCATATGATGATGATGATGATTACTTTCTGACATGATAATTATCATGTTTGACCGTTGCTTGTTATTATTATTATTTATAATGTAACCGATGATAATATATCCACCATCACGGTCAACCAACCTAATCCGTTCACGAAAGAAAAAAAAATGAATGAATTCATGAAATCTCAAAGGAAAAAAAATCGTTTTTCAATATTTCAAGTTCAATGGCTTTTTTTTCTGGTTCAAGTATACAACATTATTCAGGAATTTAGTGATGAAGAAGAAGAATGAAAAAAAAAATTCTTTCACCCGGTGAAAGTTTCATCAAACACACACGGTATGTTTTTGCAAAAAATTTTGAAATAATTTATTTAAAAAAAATTCAATTGTTTATAAGGTAGTGTATAGAAAAAATTGACATTTGTACTTGATTTTTGTGTAATATTTTAATTGGAAAAAAATTGCTCTATATATAGTATAGAAATGGTCAAATCGTGTTTTGTTTTGTCTATGTTTAAATGAAAAAAATGAGTATACAAATCAGGCATGATGTGTGTGTGTATCATCATATGTTATGTGTTTGAACATATATGTCATTTGTTTATTTTAATATATATAGAAAAATTGAATTTTTTTTACACACAAATAAAATGAAACAAATAAAACAGACAAAAAAAAAATAAAATGATCGCCACGTCGTTGTCATCTGTGCGAAAGATAATATTTATGTGAAAATGTTAAATTTGGCTATTTTCATCATCATCATGATGATGATCTTCAGATATAACGACGTCTAGATCGCTATTAACATTTTTTTTGGAATGATTATTGTCATCACTATTGTTTTCCAATGATTCCGTTGTTTCAGTTTCTGTATGCTGTTCTTGTTCGTGTTGTTGTTGTTGTTGATTTTGATGATTTTTCATAATAACGTCAACACCATCTTCTTCGATTATAGTTGCCTGTTCATCATCTGGATCTAGATCCATGTTTGAATGTTTTGATAATAATGACCTTTGTTGCTGTTGTTCAGTGGAAGTTTGTTCACTTGCCTTATTATGACTATTAATCGTTGCTGTCAGACCATCATTCAATTTTTTCGTTGTTGTCAACGATGATGATGATGATGATGATATTGATTGTAATGATATCGATGATGATGATGATGATGATATTGATTGTAATGATATCGATGATGATGATGATGAGATCGAATTCAATATTAATTGTGATGATGATGGTGTCGATGTTAATGATGATTTATTATTATTATTATGGCCAACATCTGATTGTTTTTGTTGTTGCTGCTGTTGTTCAAAATCAATATATCCATATTTACAATTATAACAAAATGATGATAAACGATTCAACGAATCCGATGATGATGATGACGACGATGAAGATGTGGTGGATGTTGAAGAAGAAGTGGAAGTAGATGATGATGTTGATGTATGTTGATTATGATTGGCGGTGGATGGAAATGAAAGTGATTGGTCATTATCGTCATCATCATCATCATTATGAGGATTATTATTATTATCATTGTAATTTACTTGATTATTATTAATGGATGGACCAAATATTGGTGTTACAGGTGAGGAATCATTATGATTATTATTTGGCATCATAATATTGAAATCACAAGACGATAATTTCGATCCATTATTATTATTATTATGATTGATAAATGTGTCATTATTCAATAATAATGATGTAGGTGATGATGATGATGTATAAAGTGGTGTTTCAAAATCCAATACCAACAATTTTGTCTCTTCAGTACCGTTTCGTGAACCAACGGCACAAACTAATTTAGTATTTGATGCACGTATACGCCATACAACACCACCAGAACCACCCGATGGTAATGTAACAAGATTACGTATAAATTCTCCATTTTTTACATCCCACAATTTAACCGTACCATCATCACTTGATGTAATGACAAATTTTGAATTAAATTGTAAACAAGTTACAGCCGATTGATGACGATTAGCACCGGATAATGTTTGTAAACATTGTCCAGTATTTATATCCCAAACACGTACAGTTGAATCAGCATTACCGGATACAAGTATATTGTTTCTTAATTGCATACCAGATGTTAATGATTGATGTCCAATCAATGTATGTTTACTTTTTCCAGTTTCAGCACACCAAACACGTATAGATGTATCTAATGAACCGGATACAATATGACGACCATCGAATTGTAATGAATAAACACGATTCGTATGACCTTCCAATGTATGTAGACAGGTTTCTGATTTTACATCCCAAACTTTGACCAGATAATCATATGCTCCGGATACACATAGCTGTCCATTGAATTGTACACAACGTACGGCTGCTATATGACCAACAAGTACATGGACACATTCACCAGTTTCAATATTCCATACTCGTAATGTTGTATCACGACTACCGGATACAACATTTGGCCCATGTAATGACATACAACGAACTGTTGATGTATGACCATATAATGTATGCAAACATTGTCCATTCAATGCATTCCAAACACGTAATGTACGATCCGTGGAGCCTGATATGACAATATTATCAATAGATAATTGTGATGACCAAACACCACCAGTATGGCCAGATAATGTACGTAAACATCTTCCTGTTATACTTGACCATACTTTTAATGTATTATCATCACTACCACTCACAATTATATTCGAGGTAGGATTAAATTGTAGGCACGTTATCACATGATCTTCATGACCTTTTAAATGAAGAATTTCTTTTAATTTTCTTGGTTTAGGTTCACATGTTGATGATAATAACGATGATGATGATGATGATAATGATGTACAATTGGAATTGGAATTATTAACTAAATTTGATGATAAACCATTATTTGATCTATTATTATTATTATTATTATTATTATTCACACATAATGATGGATTATCAATTTGTATGGAATTATTATTTTCTTGTGCCTGATGATTATGTTGTTGTTGCGATAGATTCATTGCAATCGATGAATGTTCATCATCATCATCATCATCATTATTATTTGAATTATAATTTAGAATACCATAACGCCAATTAAATTCAATATTTTTATGTTGTAGATAGGCTAATTTATATTCAGAAAATTCTGCTGTTGTTGTTGTTGTCGTTGTATTATTGATGGTGGTTTGATTATGATGATGACCTGATGATGATGATGATGAATTAAATTTAAGCCCCGTGGTTGTTGTTGGTGTTGTTGGCGATTTATTGCCAATAATAATTTTGGACGGTTGACCAATCGTTGTTGTTGAAATCGATGATGATGACGATATACGACATGCAAATAAATCGGTTAATGTTTCATGATCATCCAGTAGACCTTCTTCACGACATTTTTCTCGCCACAAAAGATTATCTTCACATAGGATACGCCAATAACGACATGTTTGAGCTGCACGTAATAGATCCGGTGGATCAAGAAAAGATAATACATATAATGATAATTCTTTAGGTAATAATGAAATAAAATCACGTTGTAATTGTGGTTCAATTATCGATAATAAATGTCTCATTTGTTGTATTTCACATATTTCACTTGTAACCAATGAATCTAATGCAACAATACGTTCATTATTTGACCATTGATGAAACATCATTAGCCATTGTTCCAAATTTGGTGGTATTGGCCTTTTGCCGTTATTATTATTATTATTGATGGCCACGTTGTTGTTGATGGTGGTGATGGGGATGATGGTGGAATTATCGTTATTATTCGTTGTTGTTGTTGTTGTTGGTAAATCACTTTCATTGAATGATATTTTATATTTTTTTGTTGGTGATGTTTGATCAAAAGTGATTAGATTTTCTTTTTTACGTTTACTATGTACATTGATATAATCGGCGTCTGAAAAAAAAAAAAAAATTTTAAAAATTGAATTTTAATTTTGAAAATGTAAAAAAGAAAATACATACTTTGATTCGTCGAAAGCATGGATGAAATGTTTGTGTATGTAAAACAAAAAATTCAAAATAAATTCCAGAAATAATGTGAATTAATTTAAAAAAAAAAAATAAATAAAAAGATTCTAATCGATAATGATCCAGAAACCAGAACTACTTAAGATGATTAAAAACCATAATAATAAAAATGAACAACGTTTTCAACAAAACATATGCATGCAGGAAATGTATCCGAAACATACACACACACACACAGGTGAAACAAAGGACAAAGATGAAAAAAAAATGGGGCCAGTCTTTTCCTGGGGCTAAATGTGATAAAGTTCAGAGTGTTTGTGTAAAAAGTGTTCGGGATAAAAAAGAGAGGGAGGTGCAAATATTAAAAAAAATTTCAAGACAAAGTTCGTTGGATTGAAATTGAATTGAAAATAAATGTGAGAATGTATCTGGCTGGCAGCTATCAATATATGCACGACGACAACAGAAGACAAAAAAAAACGGTGACCACCACTGTGTGCTCATAACCATCACCATCACCATCACACACACACACACCTCGCCTTGTGTCTGTTGTTTATTGTTTGGGCTTGAAATTGAAAATTAAAATTCCACACATAACGTACTTTATGTATGGCCATATGGAGCTATCATTAAAAGACGAGTCGTCACGAGTTGTTGTTATTATTTTTGTTGACATTTTATTTTTGTTTCTCAAATGCCAAAAAAAATTTCTCATTTTTTTTTCGTTGAACAAAATTCGACATTAAACTTTGTGTTTTTGTGTGGATGAAGTGAAATATAAGAAAATTTTCCGATGAAAAAAATGTTGACAGGATCTACAGATGCCTCCAATAATGAGAACAATCAAAAGAAGACGTTTGGATAAGTGAGTTTCATCGTCAACAAAATTGAATTGAATAATTTTTTAATTTTTCTTTTTGTAAAAATTATAGTACAAATGATGTTGAGATAGAATGTTCGAGTTTGTTGGATGAACAATCATCGGCAAAACAATCATTATCGCCACTAAACAATCATCCTTCACAACAACAACAACAGGAATCATTACCTGATGATCAAAATGTTAGTTCAGGCTCATCACCACCATCGACGACGACGACGGCGACAACAACCACAAATGAAACGGATAATTTCAAGACACCATTACCAGTGTCAAATGATCATTTTGGTATTCGAAGAAAATCAAATCGAATATTAAGTTTAAAACGTTTGAATCAAAGTCAACAACAGAATTCAAATCTGGTTACATCATCAACATCAGATCATAATGATCTACAACAACAAGCTCAAATTTCTGAATGTGATCAAAGCAATAACATTTCAGCTGTTGATCCATCAAATCAGAAACCAAATCAAGCATCGAATATATCAAGTACTGCTTTGAATAACAATGTCACAACAAGTAACAGTAGCAGCAGCACCACTAATGCAACTGGAACGAACTCTCAAAATTCAAATTCAGGAAAATCATTGCGTAAAATTCAAGCATGGACCGAAGATGATATTCGTTGGTTTTTTGAAGCACTAGGAGAACATGGTAAAGATTTTCCACATATTCAATCATATATTGCATCACGTTGTGAAAAGAAAGGTATTGCATCGGAATTGATAAAAAATTATGAACAAGTTCGTCATTTTTATTATCGTATGTGGCATAAAATATCACAATTATTGAAAATATCATCAGATGTGGAAAAAGGTGTACAAGAAATTTATGGTCTTATTAATTATGGTGAAATATGGAAAAAATTTGGCTCAAAAGTTGATTGCCGATTGAATGTTAGCCTTCAGCAATTAGTTGATTATGGTTATACTGTTGTTAAAATGAAAGGTAAAAATGTTCGTATTCGTACACCGGTTTGTAATGCATTGAAAAAGATACACAATATTGATAGTAAGTTTAATTTGATTGATTAATTGATGTTTGATTGATTGTTTTTGATCATCAGATAAAATAAATAAACCAGCTACACAGCCATCGATGCCAAAAGAGATTGGTATCGAATTAATACCGGCTACAAACGCAGATTGGATACGTGTACATTCTATTGCACAGAATCCAAGATTACGAACCCGTCTTGGTATGCAACAACGATTATCAACATTGATTTGTTATCTAGAAAAACGATGGAATGCGAATCGGATTCGTTCATCCGTCAGTGATTCATCGATTGATCAATCAGATAGTAATAATAATGACAAATGTCGGCTTCGTTTACGTGCCCGAAATTCTAGCCGATTATGTGATGTTACACTCAAATCGACAGCTAATTCTATATCATATCATTCATATCGTTCAACAACACATGGCATTGGTCAGATTGATCTTTCACTTTCGGCATATATGAAAAATATGTTCAACGATACAAATAGTGGTTTGATGAAAAAATCTAAAATGAATAAAAAATCTGCTGCTGCAAAAAAATCTACAACAACTACAACAACAGATTTACCAGTATCAAAAGATTCAAATAATGAATGTGATACTAAAGATGTTAAAGATGATAATGGTAAAGATGATCCACAACAACCAGTTGATCTATTTAAATTATTGGATTCAATGAATGAAGAATTAGAAATATCACCTAATCATATGAATGATACAAAGAATGATTTATCGTATTCTGACAAATGGAAAAATACTTTTGAACATCAAGATTCGATTGATACGACAATCACAAATTCAAATGTTGATGATGAAGATATTCGTTTACCTGAACCACCGGCCAATCAAACATTAGCACAATGGCTTGCCGGTGGTGATATTGATGATGATGATAATAATGATGAAGATGATGGTGGTGGTGGGGGTGGCAGTAATGTTAATAAACCAATGATGAATGATGATTTGGATTGTGATAATGAATCCATGAAAAATATATCCGATAATGATCATCATTCGATAAAAATAGTTGATCCATCCAAAACAACAACATCAACGAATCGAAAACAACGTTCACAAGAAATGATGACCGAAACGGTTCAATTATTAACAGCCGAACAAGCACGTATAGGATGGACAATGAATGAAGGAAAAGCAGTTACAATCGGTGAACTATATCTATTGTTTTGTCAACCAGAAAAAATTATTCTTGAATACACCTGGATCATTGACGATGATCCATCAACCGTCTGTGATAATGAATCTATTCAACCTAAACCATTGAATATTTTACAAAAATTTTTGATTGCTGCCAATATGACATTGATGAGTTATAAGAAATCAACATGTAATAGCACTGTATCTACATCATCAAATTCACGTAAACGACAAGCGAATAAAAACTTGACCACAACGACGACTACCACCACTAATGCTAATCATCAGCAATCAAGTTCACAATTATTATCGAATATAATACAGGAAACAATATTGAATGATTGTCCAAATCAGGAACAATCATCAAATTGTGTCAATGGTGATGATGATGGAAAAAATTCAAAACAATCGATTGATGCAAAATCTGGTCAGCTGAGTAGTAGTAGCAGTAGCAAATCGAATCATCAAAAATCTTGTTCCATTACGAATGAAAATGTGAATGAAAAAATAAAAACGACAAAAAATAACCGTACGACAGCTGTATGTGTTGATGATCCACATAAAGTTGATGAAGTACTTAAAGAATTAAAAATTCGTGGTCGTCGTTTTGGAAAACCGGTGAATAAATTCATGTATAATCATCATCCTAGTAAGATACTTAATATGAATGGTAATAATAGGATATCACAACCACCACATCAACAACAACAATCAACATCGAAATCATCAACCGTTTTATTAAAGGTACGTGCATCGAATCTACGACAATCAGCGGATAGTACAACAACATCGATACCTAAGCAGATTGTATTGACCGCTACAACTAATGATGTAATAAAAAATTCAGAAAAATCATCATCAGTATTGATACCAATTCAATTGGAAACAGCTAAGTCATCATCATCAACAATCGATTCGAATGATTCAACAACATATCTTCAGCTAATGCCATCTACACAGAATTTATCGATTCAAACCAATACAATAGTAGCATCAAAAGAATTGGATAAAACAAACGAATGGTTTTCCAATTCTAATCATAATGATGATGTTGGTAGATCATTTTTATTTCCAAATAATGGTGATTATGATGGTGGTGGTTACGATCAACATTCCATACAATCATCGTCGATGGTCAAAATGTTGAATGAAACTCTTGACGAACCGGTTACTGTTCCAACATTCGCATCAGCATTACCTACCGATGTGAGTAATTTTAATGATTTAAAAAAAAACTAAATTACTAATTGACTGATTAAATTAATTAGATTATTGAAACACATATGAATACGTTTGCCGAAGATAATTCAATCGATTTGATGGCCAAATTTGCCGATCTAGCCGAACAGATTACATCGACTGATCATAATGGTAAATTATAATTCATTAAATTGCGATTTGTAAATATATATTATATATATGATATTTATGTTTTTTGAAAATATTTACACATGTGTTATTAATTATTCATTAAAAAAAAATAATAATAACGATCGATAAATCAATCATGAATTTTCATTTTCTTTAGCACCACATTTTAAACATGTATAAAATATTGTTTGTCCTTCATCGGCCGAACGTGTCTGTAATGTGGCAAATGTTTGTTTATCATGACCACAGCGGCTACATTTACGTTCAACAATTGGACCATCAGCATTGATTTCTTTGTTACGTTGTTTTTTTAGATTTGATCTAGGATTAAACCATATTCTTTGTACGGTCGTAGCTTGTCCATGAAAATGTTTTGCATCAACAGTCAGATTACAAATTGGACATGTAACTAATGATGAATCATTTTCAAATGTTGGTAATGGTAATACTGAACCACAACGAGCACAAAAATCTTTCGATACAATTGAATTCATTATTTTATATATATAATGATGATGATTTTGATGGATGAAACAATTTAAAAACAAACACACACACATGTTTATTTCGCAAAATTAAAAAAAAAATTCCTTGGGACCTTTCATAAACAATGTTCGCTAATTCAAAACATGCCAATCAATGTTAATTTATTTTTTATTATTATATATGATTAAGTTTATTATTATTACAAGCGATTATTGATTTTTTTTAATAAAGATAATTTCAAGTAAAAATATTTGCTGTTCAGAATGTTTACGGTGCTTTATGTGTTTAAGAGATCAATCAATGTTTTATTATGTGTGTGCGTGTATGTATCTGGAAGAGAGAAAAGAAACGTTTGAATCTGCTTGAAAAAAATTATTCCAGTCAGATGTATAAAAAAATAGTTTTATCATTTGGATGAAAGAAATAGACCCAACGATAGTACACCAAGTGCACCGGCAGCACCACATAATATATTCTTTAGATCCACATTGAACAATGTATTATCATTATTCGATACATCACCAACAATATCTTGGGCAAATGAAACGATACCATCCTAGTGGAAAAAGTAAAAAAAAACAATTTAGTCGAGTTGTCAAAAAGACAAAAAAAATTTGTCAAACGACAATCTAAAAAAAACCAAGTCAAGTTTATGAGAATCCGGTTTTTTTCAGAAAAAAACACATCAAAGTAATATTTAAAGAAAAGACAAGGTCAAATAATAAAGTACGACACATTTTCAATTCCCATCGTTCGTTTGTCAAGGATTTTTTTTGATGATGATGATGATTCTTATTTATTTATTTTTCTCAAAAAAAGATCTACCACACACACACACACACAGACACTTACATAATCTCATGTCATATTGGCTCTTTCTCTTACATGCTTTCTTTTGATCATTTACCGCCCGCAAAAAAAAACATCATCATCATCATTATTACCAGATGATCATGTTGATGATGATATTTTGGACAAAAAAAGAAGAAAAAAATGAGACCAAATATACTATCTCCGTGTATACAGATTTCTATTTCTAACACACACTAACTCCTCAGCAGTATGACTTGAATATTATTTTTCATTGTTTTCCATTCATTCATTCACATCCTATTGTCTTCACACAAACACACAAACAAACACACCTATCAGATCAAAATAGAATCACTCATCATTATCATCATCATTCATGCATACAACAAAAAAACGAAGAAAAGAAAAGAATAACCTTGACAACAAACAGGATTCTTTATTTTTTCTTCAAATTTTGTAATAAATTCCTTTTATTTTCTTCTTCTTTGAATATTGGTCAATTTGATGATGAAGGTGGTGGTGGCTGTTGTTGTTATACAAGATTTCTCACCACAAATCATCACTGAACAAGTTTTTTTTGGTTATTTGTTTCACTCTCTCGCTCCCAGGCTTTTTTCCATCCGTACATCTTTCAAACAACCAATGGATGATGATGACGGCGACGACCTGCTATGGAATGTGACCTCGACAACAACAACAACAACCAAGACGGGTCGATCGGGTCGGGTCACACGCATATCTCAATGATGGTGTAGTATAGTTTTTTTCTTTCCCAAAGAAATCGACTACAGAGTTGTTGAAAAACAAATAGAGAGTAAAGCGTAAAGCAGTAGTATTCGTACTAGTAATGTATATTATCATCGGAAGAAAACCCCGGGACTGATTCGAAGGTCCCAAGTGTGTGTGTGTGTGTGTGACATGTGCACTATATGGTAATTATTATTATGAGAAACTAGGGTCCTCACACAAAAACAACAACAAAAACATTCATGGGAACTAGTATAGTGATGGGAAAATCTGATCAACTAACAATGACTGTTTATAGCATCAATATTTCATATGACACTTGTTGTTTTGTAAGAAAAACTTTAGAAATCTAATAAAAAAAAAATTTAAAATCTTGACCCTGATAAACAACACACACACACACAGCTGATCAATCAATGAATCGATTTAAAAATTGGAAAAAAAACATTTCTAAATTCATCAAATGATTACACATACCCAACCACCATTCTTTTCGATCCATGGTAATAAATGTTCAAAAGTATAACGGGTTAACCATCTGGCCACATCATTTACGGTGGCTGCATGACTTTGGCTAGCATAATAGGCAAAATCCACACTAAATACAAAATATGTGACAATATGATTCCATTGTATGCCTTGTACAAACATTTCATTGCTAAGACAATGAAATGTTGCACATGCATTCTGTGGCTGTAATTCCAATTTGACAATTATATCATACAATTGTCTTGAATATTTTTCTTCAAATGATTTGCCCAATGCCCTTAATGCCATTCGTATTCTACTATATTGATTGATTGATGTTTGATTAGTAGTATTGTTGTTCACCATTGATGTTTGATTCGATGATGATGATGTGGATGACGAGGAAGAAGAAGAAGGAAATGGACATTGCGCTTTTTTCAATTCAAATTGCGCATTGAAAAAGTCTTTGACCAGATTCATTAACATTGGATCATATATTGTTTCATCGGTCGATTGATTTGTTCCATTATTATTATTATTATTATTATGAATAACATGTGGATGAGAAATATGATGATGATGATGATCGGCGGTAGTCGGATTCATCGTTGTTGTTGTTGTTGTTGATGTAGTGGATGGCAATGTATCCGTATTTGGTAGTGACATTATTATATTTTTCGACAAAAAAAATCGAATATTTCAATGGATTTTATCAAATATAAATAACGAAGATTATCAAAATTTTGTGATCACAATTTAATTATCATGAATACTCGGTTGTTGTTGTTGTTATTATTGGTGTTTGTTGTAATTGTAACCAGATCAAATTCGTAAATTTTCGAAATGAAAAATAAAACTAAAAAAATAGAAACGAAATGAATGATGAAATTGACGAAAAAATGCGTATATCAAAGAAAAAAGCGAACACAAGGCGAAGGATGTGTCTGAAAATAAAAATTCGCATCATTCACAATGCCGCTACCATCAATGACCATTCAAATAGAACGTATATGATTAAAATTTATCATTCGAATTTATTAATTTTATCATTAGATTGATTTGAAAAATAATTTTTTTGTTGTAAATTTTTTCAAATAATTTTTTTTCTTGATTCTTAATTATTTTGGAACGATTATTTATTTTCAATCAATTTTCTTTATTCAAACAATATTCTTTTGTCTGAATAAAACGCTTTTATTATTATTACTGCTAGCAGCATTGTGTTGTCTTTTTTTTTGTTGGTTTGGTCGTAAATTGTGAAAAAAAAATAAAAACTTTTCAATGAATAAATGAATGAATGAAATACGAGCAAAAAAAAAAATGGTGATGAAGGTGTGTCCTCATTTACAAACACACACACACACACACACTGCTGTGTGTTTGGAACCATCCATTTTTCACATCCCTCACAAATAGATCGTCTGGATGGTTGGCTATTCGTTCATTTTGTTTCATTGAATGGAATTGGAAACCATGATGAGAAAGAGAGTGAGTCATTTGGGAAACTTTGATATAAACAAATTACACACAAAAACTACATTCCTGACCACATTCCATTCGATTACAATGAAAAACGATGACAAGTTCTCCTCTTTTTTTCCTACTACCTGTATGTGTATATACCTGTTTAGCTTGTTTTTTTTTGTTTTGTTTTCCTTGACATAAAAATGAATATTTTTTTTTTGCGAATAAAGTTTTTTGGTATTTTGAAAATTAATTCTTTCTTTGTTTATCGCCCAAAGATGTCGCCCTTATGTCGAGTGTTTTGAATTTTTTTTTAATTAATTAATTAATTTAATTAAAATTAGTTATATAGAAAATATCGAAAAAAATACAATTTCTATAAAAATTGACAATGATGAGATAATGCATTTTGGCCAAAAAAAAATTGAAACTAGTTGCAGTAGTTTATCGATAAAAAGAGAAAAAAAAGTGATCGATGATTCCACAATTTGGAGAATATGAAATCAACCAAACCAACCAATCTCAAAACACACTAATATTCTAGACCAAATTCATTCTTAACCCATGGATAAACATCTGGACATTCGAAACATGTATGAAGATAACGTTCACCTTTCACTTGTCGTGAATTTAGTTTACATGATTTTGGATGATTACAAGCAATTAGATTTGGATCAATATCACGTTTACATTTCCATGGTTCAAAATTGGCCAATTGTGATAACGGTGTTGGTGTACGCATCCATTCAATTGCCTGATAATTGGTGATTATATAAATATCCTTATGAAAAAAAAAAAACGAAATAAGAATTATCAATTTAAATGACTAAATATAGAATTCAGAATTAGTACCTTATTCTGAAGTAATTCATCCAAGAATCGTGTAAGAATGGCAAAATTACGTTTTTCTTTAAACCAGATAGTATGAAAATAAAGACCGAATGGTGCACGATTTGTACGATAATGACGATTAAAATTATCTTTCAACATTGCATATACTTCTTCATCGGATAAATGTGTAGGACATGAATCGACCATGGCACAAATATGACCCTGTAAAGTTAACAAATTTTTTTAGTTAATCAGATTCATCTGACGAAAAAAAATTAATCAACCTCAATATCGAATGGATTCATAATCATTTCCCACATTCCATTAAATGATCGTGATGGACAACGTTGTCTTGAACCATGACATTTATGTGGTATACGATAATCTAATGTGAATGGCCATAATGGTGGATCAGATCTTGGTGCTACCATTGATGAATCATATAGAAATCCAAATTCTTTCATCTATTATTATTATTATTAAGATATTTTAGCAAAATTGTTTATCGATATTCAAACAATCTTACCATAATAAATTGTGTATTCCAACCAACACGCAAAAATGGAACACGAGTACCACGAAGTTCATCCAATGGAATTCCAGCAAAACGATTGATTATATTAGCCATACCGGCAAATTCATCAAACCAATCTTCCATTGTGGCATTGAATGTCCACCAAAGTTCAGGCTGACGATGACTAAAAATTGAAAATTGAATTTTGGTCATCATTTTTTCTTTTGAATCTAGAAAAAATAAAATAAAAATACTCACGTAATTGAATGGATACCAATTTCATGGCCATCATTCCATAATTTTTGAACATGACGATAATTTGTATATTCATGTGAAAGGAAAAAAGTTGTTGAAATTGGACAACCATTTGGATTCGTTCGATTTGGTGTAAAAATACGTTCATAGATTTCCCAATTTTCATTGTTGACAGCATCATCGAATGTCAGAATGACAATTTGCGGTGTTTCTTCTGGTTTCATATTACCCGGTATTAATGTACCATCGACTGAACAAAAACAATCAGGTAATGTACAATTATTAGCATCACATCGTGGTGGTGAATTTGGATCCGAATCTGGATCACAATATGATTCATCTGACCAATCATCACAATCTTTTTGGCCCTGTGTGTAAATTATATGAGGATTATTAGTGTTTATATAACTGAATTTAACTAAAACAAACATACATCACAGAATAAATCACGATTAATGCATTTTCGATTAGCACATGCTAATTGTCCAGATGGACAAATTGGTTCATCCGTTGATAGCAATGGTTTCGGTGTACTTGCATCTATAATCATCATCATCATCATGTAATGTTATTATTCATCATTATTTGAATATAAACTAAAACAAACATCTTACCATGTGATTTTTCACAATTATCGATTTTAAATTTAAAATCACAAATCTGTCTATCTATATCGAACCAAAGACCAGCTGAACAACGAAATTGTAATACTTTTTGCCGTGGACACCAATAATAACGGGCACAATCACGAATGCCGATTGCTTCGGGATTACGATAAAATTTTCCATTATCAATACAGGGAACACCTTCTACTGAGCCTTAGTATGAAGTTCAAAAACAAAACAAAACAAAAAAAATTCAAATTAATCAAAATCAAGACACACACTTAAAGGTGTGGTGGTAAATGAAATATTAGAAAAAAATCAAATTCATCCGTATTTCTTTCTCTCTCTCAAGCTTTCTCTAAATCTAAATTTATGAATAATTTTAAGGAGAAAAAAATAAATTTGTTCCATGTTCAATGTTGTTGACCTAGCTGACTGACTGACGATGATGATGGTCTGTGTCACCAATCGATAATTTATGTATGTTTTGCCTTATATAATTTATATGATGATGATGATGATGATGAAGATGAAGTAAATTTCTGAAGTGAAAACAGCAAAATGAGGTCAACAAAATGATTTTCGTTTTTAGACAAGTTTTTTTTTGTTGACTCGAAAATTCTAATACAAAAAAAACGTAATAAAGATGTTTTAAGATTCAAACTTACCATCTTCATTAGCTGCATTTACGAATAGATTTGATCGATGATTATTAATAAATGATGATATTATATTATGATGATCATTATTTGAATATAAACAAATGATGATCAAAATTATGATTGAAATGTATGTAGAAAAATTTGTCATCATCATTATCATTGCCATATTGATTTTGGATTGATTGATGAGTTTAATGGAACAATGAATTTCTTGAAAATCTTGATGATGAATCAAGTGCAACCAGGCACTTTATACACACATAAAGATTATACGGATATTTTTTTTTTTTTACTTTGTCCAACAACAACAACGACGACGATGACGATAATGTTTTCTGTGGCGATGACGATGACGATGATAATCGTAAAGGATTGACTGGAATGAAAATAAAAATTATATATCGATGAAAAAAAAGTGAGAAAAAAAATATTAACGAAAGAGAAAAGATACAAACAAGTGGTGCCCGGCTTTTTTTCGGGATGCGCACGGCGGCAATACAATAATAATTTCAGGTTTTCTTTTTTTGTTGTTTGTTCCCGTTTTCTGTTTTTTTTTTTTTTTTGATCAAAGTGGATTTGATTTGTAATACCCAAATGTGGACAAAGGGCAAATATCAGAGAGAGAGAGAGAGAGAGAGAGAACGAGAGATTCAGACAAAAGTCAATATGATAATTTGAAGGCAAAGAATAATGATAATGATGATAAGTAGAGCGTCATTTCAACCGATAAACAAACTTGAATGGCCAAATAAAAAAAAACAAATAAACGAAACTCTATGATGATGATGATGATGATGATGAAAATGATGATGGCCAAATAGTGATTTAGAAAGAGAAGATCAAGTCAAGTATTTTTTTTTTCTTGATTCAAGTCGATTTCTTTTGGCAAGAGACCAGCCCAAATACTTGAATATTTTGTTTTTATCGTTTTTTTTGCTGTTTCTTCGATAAAACAATATGATATGATGGATCATGAGCCATAATCTTTTTTTCCATTCTAATGATTCGAGAGATATGTTTGAATTTTCGAATGTGTCAATCTGGAATGTCATATGTGAATTTGAATTTTTTGTGTTTTTTGTCGAATGATAGATGAGACTATAATGCTCGAAATAAAAAAAACTGTGATCAAATAACCGATAATACGAACAAACAAGATAACGGGTAATATTTCGTTGAATTTATTAATAAAAAAAAATGATGATGATGATAATTGCAAGATTTATCTATGGACAAATATATATGGTAAATATATACGATTTTAGAAAGTTTAATTTTATTTTTAACTCAATTTTTGTTTTATTCAAAGAAAAAGACGAAAAAGAAGAAGAAGAAAGTCATACATCAAAACTGTTTCACATTTAAAAATGTCTTCCATGGTTGGTTGTTGTTCGTAATGGTTTTTCATTTTCAGGTTTATGTTGTTCAACACAGGTCAAAGAATTACCATCAACTAATGAATTTTCACCACATTGAATTAATCTTGGCTGGCCACTAACACAGGTGATTATTGCTTGTTGATTATACCAATATCTTGGATATGGCCAAAATTTATTCGAATGATCATCATCTGGACATTTGAATTGTAATAATGATTCGGAACTACAACCAACTTGATCAGGCCAATTACAACCTTTAATACGTTCATCATAGAATAATCCGTATGGTTCACATTGTTTCCGTTGTGGTATACCCCAAGCACATTCACTATAGAAAACATTACATGGTTGACGATTATCTTCAGCAAAGAATCCAAATTGATATGGACAACCAGGAGTACTCATTGGTTTGGCTATTATATTCGGATTGGGTAAAAAGCAATTTAAATTTCAATATATTTCAATCAAAATAATCAACTTACGAATAGTTTTATCACCACAATCAACATTCCAATAATAAGCACACATTCCAACTACATGTCCAGTATGTGAAAATAATAGACCATTTGGACAGAATTCATGTGACATTGTACCATTTGTACATTGAAAATATTCATCACATGATTTTGGATGTGGATAACCAAAAACACCATCCGGTGGACAATGTAATGGAATCTCTTCTAATCCTGAATCAAATCAAATTATCAATTTATCGGAAGAATCATAAAAAAAATCCATCAAATTTACATACCGGAATCAGCAGCATTGACTAAAACGATAATCAAACTGGATAAAATAGCTGATAAGCCAATTATAATCATGATGGATGGATAGTTAATCTGTTTGTTTGTACGTTGTTGATATTCGTTGCTTATGATGTGTTTTGTGCGATTGAATGGTAAAGACATGAGAAGAAAAAAAAAGTAAAATCAAAATTACAAGGCAAACAAATCAATTTGTTTGAAAGAAGAAAAAGAAGAAGAAGAAAAAACAAGCAAAACATTTCTCTTTTTTTCCATTTCTAAATTGAAAAAAAATATTTCTTGATGAATAATTTTGACAGAAGAAAGAAAAAATCTGATCCAAATAAGCAAAAAAATTTTCATTTCTTTGCTTCTAGGTGTTCGTTTTCGCTTTTTTTTCTTCGATGAAAGAATACATTATTCAGGCAGTGTTTGAGTGTTTTTTTTTGTTTGTTTGTTTTCTTCTTGACAAGGTAATCAATTTTGTACTTTTTTTTATTTCGTTCGAATTTGTTCGAATACACAAACACACACACACACATAGCTGAAATGATTGATGATTGACGACTATAATATTATGGTAATTTGTTTTTTGTTTTATGGAAAGCTGAATAAATTGGATTTATCGAAAAATGAATAAAAAAAAAACTCTTTTTTGTGAAATGAAATCAAAGTTGTCGTTGTCGTTGTCGTTGTCGTTTTGCATCACCAAGATTTTGTATTTTCATAGATTTATTCAATAATAATGTTTATGATACTAGATGGCAGCACCGTGCACACATTTAAATCTAGTTTTGATTTTTCGGCATCTGTGTTGTTGTTGCTTACTTGCTTGTTGGTAAAAATTCGGGAGTCTGTGTGTCTGTCTGGTTTTTTGGTCAGAAATAAAAAATGTTACCACCACCACCAGTACCAACACCGATGACGAACAACCAACCAACCACTCCTCATGTTGTTTTGGTTTTTTTGGCCAATCGACCATCAAACAACAACAACGATACAATGCACCATTGACCAATTTGAGTTTTCACTTTTTTTTTGTTATTATTGTCGTTGGTTTCTTGATCGTTTTTTTTTAATATATGGATTCACGTTCGTTCATTGTCTACTATAGTACGCGTTAATGACATAATGACATTTTGTTGCCTGTAACCACAACCACCACCATTGGAAATATCATCATCATTGTTTTTTTGATGATTATAATGATGGTCGATTGTTGTTGTTATAGTTGCTGTCATCAACGCTATATTATTATTATAATGTGCCATCATAATTGCTGTTCTGAGAATCATCATCATCTCTTTTCGTATAGAAGAAATTAATGGTTGCCATTATTTATCCTCGTCATTTTCATCCATTATAGTCATGAAAATAGAGCACCCTTCTGGCATGAAATAATCTTCCAACTATTTTATGCACATTATTATGCAAGCAATCAAACCATACGCTCAAAATTTTTTTTTTCAAAGAAAAAAAATATCGATTTTTTTTTCTTTCATCGATTGATCTCAACCAACTGACAAGAACTGAATACGATGAAACAACCGTACAGAATTCTATAGTAATTTGCCAAAACAAAAAAAACGAAACATTGATCGTTTCATATATATTTTTCTGACTGAATTCTGAGTTTTCGCTCAATTGAAATCGACATATTTTTCCGTCATCATACATACATTTTAACAAAACCATCCTAAATTCCATCACATTAAATCAATAAAATGTTTTGTTGTCAAAATTCGGACGAGGTAATCGTCACCTTTTTTTAACAAAAAAAAAGTTTTAAAAATCCATTTTTTTCTTGTTTTTAGGTACGTCCAATTGAAAAAGAACGCCGTAACCGAGACCACTGTACAGACTTGCCATTTGCAATCATTTTCATATTATTTCTATTTGGTCTTGGCGCTATTGCATTCTATGCATTCAATATTGGCAGTCCATTTCGTTTGATACATGGATCCGATTCATTTGGAAATGTTTGTGGTCAAAAAAATGTTCGAATCGATAATATACCATTCACCGGTTTGGATCTGCGAAATCGGCCGAATCTTTTTCATTTGAATCAACGTGATCCGAAAAATTCGATCAAAATTTGTGTGAAAAAATGTCCAAATCGTGATTTGGTTAACATGGCTGAAATCTATCAATTTTATACTCGATATAATTCTTCGCTTTGCAGATATGATTTTGAATTCAATACAACCATGCCGACAACAACATCTAGTCCATTGCAAGAACCTCGTCTATATCCAACATTGGATCAACTACAGGAACAACCGAAATTTAACGATACTGGATTATGTCCAACTTTACCAGTGTTTAGAAAGTAAAGAAAAAACTTTCATCCTCTTTATGTCACTAATTTTTTTAATTTTTATTTTAGCCGACGATTACTTTATTATTGTGTTCCTGAAATGGCCATCGTGCAAGGTGTTGCATTAGGACATTCACTGTATGATTTCATGTCAAGTCGTGTTCCATTGAAAAAAATTGTTGGCGATATAATCAATTCACATGAAGAAATGGTCATCATGGGTGTCGTAGCTGTCGTTGCTTCGATTATCACCGTATTCTCTATTCATTTTGTTGCCAGTTTAGCATCATGGCTAATTCTGGTTGTTATATCGGCTCTTCTAGCAAGTTTAACAATTATATTCTGGTGGATTTATTTTATTTCACGTAATCGTGAAGCATTACCGGAAAAATTGGCTAAATTATTACCGGAAGATTCTGAAAATGATTCGATTCTTTTAACAGTGGCCATCATATGTACGATCGTTACGTTGGTTATTATCTATGCTGCGGCTAGTATGCGTTCTCATGTCAAATTCGTTGTCACATTATTCCATGAAACTGCTTCATGTATTCGTACGATGCCTTTTCTATTGATTCAACCATTATGGACATTATTAGCATTGATTGTTTTCCTATTCTTTTTTTTATTCATATTGATGGCATTGGCTACATCGGATCATCAATCACGTGATCAACGAATGTTACAGGCAGCAACCAATACCGATAATGATTTACTTTCCGTTGGTGCGGAATTGAAAAATAAACTTACATCATTCACATTGATACGATATCGTTCTTCATCATGGATACAATTCATGTGGTGGTATTTGCTTATTGCATTTGTTTGGATTGCAGAATTTCTTTGTTCTTGTCAACAATTAATTATTGCCGGTGCCGTATCATCATGGTATTTTTCACGTGATCGTGAAAATCTTGGATATCCCATTCTGAATGCTACTCGTGATCTTGTCTGCTGTCATCTTGGTTCAGTAGCATTAGGATCATTCCTGATCACGGCTGTTAAACTTCCACGATTGATCATTCAACAAACGACAGCACGATTGAAACAATTTGATAAATATCGATTAGCTCGTGCCGCATTACAAGCTTGTGCTTGTTGTCTTTGGGTTGTGGAAAAATTTCTTAGCTATCTAACACGTAATGCCTATACAATGGTTGTATTGAAACGTACCAGTTTCTGTGTCAGTGCACGATTAGCTTTTCAAACACTATTTTCTAATGCTATTCGCGTGGCTGCCATTAATTCGATTGGAGATTTTATATTACTTTTGGGTAAATTATTGGTCACATCATTAACGGCTATTGTAGGCGTATTGTTGATTCGTGTAAGTTGACTTGTTCTTTCTTGTTCTTTTTTGAATCATTTATAAATATGAATTTATTTTCTAGTCAAATACAGCCGTTCATTATTGGATGATACCGGTGCTGATAATGTCATTGTTTGCATTCTGGATAGCTCATTGTCTATTGTCCGTCTATGAAATGGTTATCGATGCATTGTTTCTTTGTTTCTGTCATGATATGAATCAACATAATGGATCACCGGGTAATGAATATTATGCACCAGAATCGTTAATGAAATTTTTACGTGAAGATGAACAAACCATGTCTGAGATAAGACCAAATCAATCGATTCCAACAAATGAAGATGAAGATGAAACAGATATGAAAAACATACGACAACAACAACCACAATCACAACAACATCAACAGGATGGATTATATCCAGATCTTGATGATTATCAAACTATTCGATGATAATCATGATGATGGTGATAATAATAATAATAACCACCACCGAAAGAAAAAAAAAACGTTGCATTCACACTATTTTTAACCATAATAATAAATAACAAAAACAACCACCACCAATATCAATCATTCATATTTGCTATATAGATTCTCATTACATACACACCGAAACATATATTCTTTTGAATACTCATCATGATCATCATCATCACTCTCTATAGCAAGAATGTCATTTCTCACTCACATGATAACTATACCAAAGAATTTGAAAGATGTTCTCATTTTTTTATTTCGTTTCTTCAAAAAAAAAAAAAAAAAATTCGAGTCAAACAAACAAACAAACAAAAAATTATTTTTTTTTAAACTTTGTTATTGCACACATCTTGTTGATTTTTCTATATATAAATCATCTATATGGTGAAAAACAAACATGATACTCTTGCCTTTTGTCTACACACACACACACACACACACACACACAGACAGTATTTGATTCCAATTGATGATACCTCAATTTGATTTTTTTTTCCAAATATAACGACAACAATGATGATGGTAAATAAAAGATTGCGCATTGCATCATGGTCAATGTATTTATATAGTTTTTTTGCATTGATTTCTGCAATATCGATGGGCATGGTGATTGGTTGGAGTTCAATAGCATTGAATAGTATGCAAATGAATTCGACCAGTGTGCCAAAACTTCGACCACAAGAAAATCCAATCGATAGTTCATATATGACATGGATTGGTAGTTCTATTACATTGGGTGCATTATTCGGCTGTCTATTTGGTGGTATGTTTATTTTTTTCACCTATTTCGACGTTTGTTGATTAAATTGAAAACAATTTGAATTTATTATACAGGTATTATCATCAATCATTTTGGACGAAGAATCATCTTAATCATTTTGGCTATTCCATTCACCATAGGATGGTTTATAATAAGCATGGCACAATCATTTTTAACAATAATATTTGGCCGTGTTATTACCGGCGTTTGTGTGGGCATCATCTGCAGCACTGTACCTGGTTATGTTGCCAATATCGTTATACCGGATAAACGTGGATTTTTAGGAACATGTTTTCAACTACTATGTAGCTTAGGTGCATTGTTTGCTGCTTATTTTGGTACAATATTCTCATGGAACGAATTATCATTGATTTCAATCATCCCGGTGATTATATCATCGATTGGAATGTATTTTGCACCAGAATCACCAATCCATTTGATACAATGTAAACAATCAAAACAGGCATTACAATCATTGGAACGACTTCGAACCAAAGAAAGTGATATTGTTATTGAATTAATTGAATTAGAAGATAGAATCCTATTAAACAATCAACAATTACAAACTAATATGGATGGAAAATCAAGCCTTACATCTTTTTTAAGACGACCAGATGTTTACCATCCTATGGTCATTGCGATAATGCTTCAATTTTTTCAACAATTTTCCGGTATAAATGCCATCATGTTCTATCTGGTGTCCATATTCCAGGATTCAGGTGTTAATATTGATCCACAATTAGCTTCGATTATTGTAAATTTTGCATTATTCATTTCATGTCTATTTTCCGGTATATTTATGAATTATTTGGGTCATCGATTATGGTTATTTATTTCCAGCATTGGAATGTCAATGACAATGTTGATGATGGCATTATATTATTATTTTCAATCATCAAATGATCAAACAAGTTGTATACCATTAATCTGTTTGATCATTTTTTCCATTTCATTTGCCTGTGGTTTTGGTCCAATACCATGGATGATTATTGGTGAGATAACACCGATTGAAGCTATGGGAATGGTTGGATCATTTTCGGCCACTACAAATTGGTTATGTGCATTTATTATTACAAAAGAATTTGATGATTTTATACATTTTTTAGGCAAACAAGGTGTTTATCTTTTATTTGCTTGTTGTAGTTTTTTATCCATAATATTTGTATGGATATTTGTACCGGAAACGCAAAAACGTAATGAATTGAATTAATTAATTTCAAAAAAAAAAAAAAAAATAAAATTAAAGCAAACCAAATATTCGACGGATAAAAAATTCGCCTTGATGAATGATTAATGTTGCAAATGAAAGTGAAATTTGCATATCTTTCCATATTTGTTGCTGTTGCCGTCGTCTTTCATATCGTTGTCGTTGTCGTCGTCGTCCTCGTTGTTGTTTTGATTTTTTCATCATCATACGATATATATGAATATTACGTCGACTAATCTGCCATCTTATAGAATGTGCTAGTAATACTTTTGCCGTTATAATTGTTAAACGTATTGTTTGCATTAGAAACAATGCACAACCATCATAATCGATTATTTTATCAACATAAAATTTTTGTTCAGCTTGTTCATCTAACATATCGATTATACGAAACATACCAGTACCCGATATTAATCGATAACCAATAAAACGAATATTTTTATAAAGATATGGCCATGAACAATAAATGTATAACCATTGTATTGATAATAATGATAAATCAGCAATAGAAAATCCAAATAAAAAACGTGCAAACAAACCAATAGGTAATATACGTATTTCCATTAATTCTTTTTGTTCATGAATATCATTATTAGCTAAAATGGTCAACAATGCAACAATTATTGCTGTCCAAATGGAAAAATGAAATTCTTTACGTGGTATGTCCATATAGGTGGGCATAAATATAATAACATCAATCAATGGTGTGATGAATATCAATGAAAAACTAAGCATAAAATGCCATTGTAATGCTGTCCAATTGAATCTATATATTGGTTGTGTATCAATTGGTGGTGGTCGTTGTTGTCGTCGTCGTCGTTTCATTATCGATTCGATTCGTTGTTGTTCATTGACATCAAAGTAAAATGAAATAAATTTTTAAAATTAAATTAAAATAATTTTTTTATTTTATTTTTTTTTTTTGTTCCAGACTAATTCATCATTACAGTAAATACAGTTCAGAACACCAGAAAAAATTATGCCAATAATAATTATCCGATCTTGTGGCTGGTAAATTTTTCTCTAACCATTCTATTTGTTGAACAATTAATCGATTATCACCGTATGTAAGATTCATATTACAATTATCCCATGAAATCGGTGATGATGAATGTTGGTCAACATCTTCACTACCATAAATTGCTTGATAATGTATCATCGATATTCTTGTACATTGATCAAATATGGAACGATTGTTTCCATTAAACAATAATAATTGTTCAGATAATTGTGGACATTTTCCAAAGAAAAATTTTCTCATAAAATTCTTTATAGTACGTATTGAACAATGTAAATCATGTGCACATTGTTCAAAATTGAATGGATAATCCAACCATTGATAATGATTTGGTGATGAATTGTTTGCCATTTTCCAATATGATCGTGACAAACGAAACGGGCCACAAAGATATTTATCTGGTTCAATAATACGGCAACGAGAATTTATTTGGCATCCAGATGAAGCCTAAGTGAAACAAATTTCAAAAAATCAAAAAATCAAATGTTTTCAACAAAACAATTACCGCACAAATACATCGTAGACAATCATCATTATCGAAAATCAATGACGATAATGATCGATGATGATCAATTTCATTGTGGTCATTTTTTCGGTAAATTTCTTTGCCGATAACATCGATGACTGATGATGATGATGGTAATGGTAATAATAATAAAGCAAATAGATAAATTCTGTTCAACATGATGACCGAAAATATTGATGATCAAAACAGTAGATACAAATCAGGTGTTTAACAACAACAACAACAACAACAACAATTGAACCAGAAACAAAATACGAACGTTATCGATTCAAACAATCTTTTTATTGTGATTGAAAAATTTCAACAATATCCCGAATATCGTCATGCTTGTCAAATTATCTATGCCATCATCGAACGAAAGAAAAAAAACAAACAAACAAACCAGTGGTGATGAGACATGACAGAATGAAAAGATTTGTATTGTTTTTTTTCTTGTTATTATCAACAAAATCAATCTGGTTTCTTTGTGTGTGTGTGTGTCTTCAAAGACGAAAAAAAACGAAAATTTTTTTTTTTTTATTTCAAAATTAAAAAAAAATCACAAAACACAATACAAAAAAACAAACGTTTACGAAAAAAAAACAGAAATAACGAATTGAATGATAAAATGAAATGAAAGATATACAAGAATAATAAATACATGAAATGAAATGATGAAAATTGGAATCAAAAATGGGTATGGATAAAAGAATAGAATTTCGAATTTGAAATTTTAGGTCTGACAACGACATTTTGTTATGATTTGAATTTTTTTATATTGAAATGTATGTAATAATAATGGCTGTTCAAATTGTCCATGGCCATTATCATCGATATTCGATTGTCGTCGTTGTTGTTGTTGATCATTGCCATTATCATGATCATCATCATCCATATTCATTGCTATTAATGATATTTTATTCATATCGCTACTATCATAATCGATAGAATCGATTGTTGCCGCTGATTGTGATTGTGATTGTGATCGAATATTTTCCAATGATGATGATGATGGTCGTGTAAAACGTTGACGTTGAACATTATATAATGGACAACGAAGACGAATAATTTTCCAACGATAACGACGTGGTGAACATGTACAACGTGATTGAAATGGCATTGTTTGATTCGATTCGGATGGTATGTAGAATGAATTACAATTACCAAAACAATAATTATTATTCACAATACGACTTTTACATCCAGGATGTTGAATTTTTTGTTCAAATGGTACCGTTTTACATGAACCATCACGGCTATGTTTGGCTAACATTGATGGTAATGCTTGGCCTAAATTTGAATATATGATCGATGAACGTAATGATTCGAATGCTTGTCTAGAAAAGTTTGCAAAAATCGCTGTTGGTTTATGATGATGACGACGGCGATGATTCCGTCTTTGGTGTCGTATTGGTTGTTGATCACCACCATCATCATCACCAAAATCATCATTAAAACGTTGTTTACGTTTACGATTTGCTGATGTATGTCGTTGCATACGACTTAGCTGAAGATAATTGGAATTTGGTGCACGTTCAAATATTGGTATTGTTCCACCATTATCATACATTTTATATGATAATAATTCAGAATTTTTTGGTTTCAATTTGATTGTCGTCGATACCGCTGTTGTCGATGTGGATAGTGATGATTCATTTTCATCATTGGAATAAACAGAAATAATGGCAATGGATAAAACGATTATCACAACAAAACCGAAATCATACAAGAATCTATAATCAATGATTCTTCGATGCCTGTTAATCGATTTGATGATGGTCATCATGATTATTATGTTATCTTTTTTTCTTATTCAAATCACGATTGGTTATTTATTTACAGAATATGGAAAAAAACAATTCACCAACAAACACACACACACACACATACATACACGCATGTGGAATCAATTTTTTATAATTAAAATGAAAAACATTCGTTGCAGACAAACAGGCGCGCTAACACAAAGACAACGGAATTTGATTTCGCTTTGCTTTCGGTAATCGTGATTGTTGGTGTTAAGATCTATTGATCGGTCAATGGTCATCATACATATGAATGAATGTGATTTTTTTGCTTCACAACAACCAAAAAAATGCATGGATTCACCGTTTACTTTTTTTTTTGTTTTGCTTTTGATTTTTCTTTTCACCGAATTTATATTATTAGATTTATTCGGGTGGCGTGACCATTTATTTTACGGTAATGTGTGTGTGTTGATTACTTGTTGCATTCTCTTTCTCTGTTTATGTTTGCTTCTTCATACACACACACACACAAATGTCCATTTTGCTGTTACCGCCTGTATTTTTTCAAAAATCGATTCAACCAATCAAAATCATTTGAAATGAATTTCGTTTGACCAATCAAAATTCATTTGGAATTTTTTTTCGTTTCTTTCTTCAACATGGTGTTCGAATTACGCATGTGTGTATGTTTTTTACGAATATTTCGACCCGATTCGATTTCGATGTGGTCATCACATGTTGATGATGTAAAACAGATGTTTTTCTTTTTTTTTGTTTTTTTTTTTTGCTTTTTATTTGGTTCCAAAATTTCTTTTTTTTTTCTTCAGTGTTTCAAGAAACATTTGATTTTTTTTCTTCTTCTTCATATCTTCTTGATCTGTGTGTTGATTCTGGTTAGAGAGAGAGAGAGAGAGAGAGAGAGAGAGAGAAAAGTTTAATCGAATCATCGTTGGGGGGCAATTGTTTCGTTTCGTTTTTTTTTTTTCACCACACATTTCATTGTCATTATATTGTTGACACAACATGTGTGTGTGTGTGTGTACAACTAATTGAATATCAAGCTGAGAATTTTTCTGTCACACAACTGTTTATGGACAACTGAAAATGGAAAAACGAAAAAAAAAATTTTGTTCTGGAATCCAAGTTCGAACACAGAAGCATAGAACCAATTTTGTTCTGTTTTTTACTGGAAAAAAAATGTTCATTCATTCAAAAGAGAAAGAAATTGAATTCAATTCAATTCCATTCATGATATTCTGGTATGCAAATTTTTATTTTCATTTTGCTTTACATGTCATTTTGTTTTTCCTCTCATTTTATATTTAAAAATAAATTCTTTTAGCCCAGGTGTTCATACACACACTTGACATTCATTCATACTTTTGCAAGAAACACAGGTGTTACAATTGTAAGTGATTGTGTGTGTGTGTGTGTTTATATGTCAACAAGTTCCTAATTGATCGGCCAAAATATGAAAAAAAAGAAAGAAAAAAAACGTCAACGAAATTTTTCATTTCAAAGAATAAGTTTTCTATATTTCTGAAAATTTTTCATTTTCACCAAAATTAATCAATGATGATTGTCGATGATTTTCATACTTCAAGATTTATGTTAACCAACAACAACCCATTCATTTATCCATATAACCAGATTAATGATGATTATTATATATTCCAAATAGGCGATGAAAAGTGAGAAAAATGAAAAATTCAATGAGTCTGGCGCCATAGGTCGGCCAGACTATTACCAATGTATGATGAAAATTATATTATTTCTATACAAGAAAAAAACTATATCTGATCTGATGATGATGATGATGATGATGATAATCATGATAATGATGAACTCAAAGCCATTTTTTTTCTCTTTCTCTATTCAACGATGATCATGATGATGATGATGATAATGAACAAAATGATGAAGATGAAAACTCATTGATCAATAGAAGAAGAAACAGACTGTCACGATTTTTTTTTCTCTCGATTCATTTGTTGTTTTGTTTCGGCTGTTCGATTGTTGTTGTTCTCAAATCTATCTATCTATCTATCTATCTATATACAGACAGGCGCCACAATTATTATCGACAATGAATTACTTTATTATTGGCTAGCCAATATGTATGGCCGCCGCCGCCACATCATCATCAACATCATCTCATGATCCTCCACCGACGCGTTCAAGATTCTTATGATGATGATGTTGTTGTTGTTTGATAATCAAAGCAAAATCAAATCACAAGAAGAAACAAAAAAGAACCACTCCTTGGTGATGGTAGTGGTGGGTGATCTCAACAAATGATGATGTTTTTTTTTTTTTGTTTAGACCCAAGAGAGAGATAATATCAATTTTAATCAAATTTTTACAAATTAGCGGCAATGATTTAAAATTCTTGTTGTTGTTTTTTTTCGACGATGATGATGATGATGATCAATTAAAGATTATCTATGACTCATCATCATCATCATCCGCTACGTTCAAGTGATGGTCGTCGTCGTCGTCGTCTTCATCATCATAGTTTATTGGTGTCTGGTCATTTTTTTTTTTTTTTTTTTCCCTCTCTCACTCGAGCATGGTCAATCTATATATTCGAATTGGATCACACAGACATACATACAAAAATCTTGAACTTGAATAAAGACAAATGAATGATCGTCAATAAGTCTTCATTGCCGTCTTAGTCATAGTCATAGTCGTCGTCGTCGTCGTCTTCGTGGTTTTCATTTTTGTTTTTAATTTGCTGATGTGTATGCGTGTGTGTGTGTGTACAATATTGGTCTGGTTTTTTTTTTTTTTTTTGGTGTTGGTGGTCTCTGGTTTCGATTTGATTTTTTTTTTTTGCTTGTTTGTTCATGTCTTTATGGTTTTTGTATAAGTGATCGACTTTGATTTAGAGAACCATGGCTGCTGCTAAAATTTATTGGTCATCATTCAAACGTTGTTTTTTTTTGTCTGTAATCAATTATTTTGTTGTGGCTAATTGAATTTTATTTTTCTGTTGTTGTTGTTGTTGTTGTTTTCGGCTGGCTTGCGTCTGGTCAGCTGATTTTGTTTTTCGCTACCCAAAAGATCCGTTTATGATCCTCTGATGGATCAAAAAATTTAAACCTTGGCCCAGGGAAATACCCGAAGCAGAGATAGAGAGAGTAATAATAATAAAAGGTAAAAAGAAAAAAGGTGTGAAAAAGAATGAAAAAAAAGTGTGGACACGTAAATGTCAATTTGTCATGTCAAAAAAGCCAAAAAAAAAATGACATTTCTGTCAGTAACTATATGTGAACCTACAAAAAAAATAAATAAATGACGATTACAGAAAACACCGAAAGGTTACACACACACACACATGCACGGTCACACAAATTTTGGTTAAATTGTTGTTTACTCAAGGAGTTGGCTATTCGTAGTTGCCATTTTCATTCATTCATTGAATTCAATTCAATCCAATTTTCATATACCTGACAAACGAAAAGAATTCATGACTTTCTTTTTTTTTATTGTTGTTAAAAATTTAATTTGATGATGATTTCAATGAATTTTATTTGTGTCTATTGTGATTGATTGTATATCGATATATCGATAAAAATCGTTCATGATGATATATAGAATTTCATCAATTTTTTTCGAATTTCAATCAGCAGGTGTCCACAGTTTATTTGTTTTTTTTTTTGCTTGATTATTGAATTAGTCGTCGCCGTCATCGTCGAATGAGATTTTTTTTTATTTATTTACGAATCAAATCCATATCATGAATGAATTTATAATTTCGTCGTTGAAAAATACAAAAAATTAAGACCAAATGTAAATATATTGACCATTAAACGGCCCAAATGATTATCAACAATGATTTGTTCCAAAATATGACCAAACTATCCCACTTTCTCCATGATATTCCATCTCCTCTCTTGATTTGTGATTCGATTGGTATGCACGGAATGTTCAAGTCGGTCAATTCAAATGAGATTTGTTTTCTTTTTCTCTCTCTCTTTCTCTATTTCATTTGAATTTGTTTTACTTTTTACACTTTCAAAGTTTCTTTCGGGCTACCACTGGCTATATGATGAAAAAAAAAAAAAAAATTTTTCCCCGCCGATCTAATTTGCCAAATGGTTACATATATTCGACAATCCCAAATGATTATCAACAATGATTTGTTCCAAAATATGACCAAACTATCCCACTTTCTCCATGATATTCCATCTCCTCTCTTGATTTGTGATTCGATTGGTTTTCAAGTCGGTCAATTCAAAAGATTTGTTTTCTTTTTCTCTCTCTCTTTCTCTATTTCATTTGAATTTGTTTTACTTTTCTTTCAAAGTTTCTTTCGGGCTACCACCACGCTATACGGTCCTCCTATCTTTTTCCTCCTAACTTTTCAAGATGGCAAATTTTTTTTTACTTTTTTTTCTCTCACACCTTAAGATGATCGAAATGATGATGATGAAAAAGGCCGACCAGGTGATATAACGTGTGTGTGTGTGTGTGTGTGTGTGTGTGTATCAAATCTCAGCATGGATCCTGATGATGATGACGATAAATGTCGGAACAACCAAACAAATAACAACAACAACAACAGAAAATGGAAAAAGAAATAGAAATTTTGAAACAAATTTTTTTTTTACAATCATCTTTATCATCATCACCATTATACAACAACAATTCATTGGAAAAAAAAGAAGAATTTTATTTTTTGTTCCTTGAAATTTTGTTTTTTTTTTAATACAAAAATTTATAGCAAAATTTTTCTCAAATTGAGAAGAGAAGAAAATTTTTTTTTATTGCAATTTTTTTTTCTTTTGATTTCCGTCTGACGGACAGAATGAAATGATGAACATGTTTTTTTTTTTTTTTTGTTGTTTGGCGAACAAATCGGATTAACTCATTTCAACTTGTTGTTTTTTTTTTCTTTGATTACCATTGAATTGATGTTCATATAGTGAGGATTATGTTGTCAAAAATGGCGACAAACACCCACTGTGATCATCATCATCATCATCTTTACCATCATTTTGATCAGATTTAAAGATGCCATATGAATGAATGAATGAATGAATGACTGATGATGATCATTGATTCCATAACCTAACTTATTTGTTGCTATGTCTTTTTTTTGTTCATTTCATTTTTTTTTTTTTTTTTGAATAGGAACATTGGATTGCCATTTTTTTTTTGGTAGTAGTACCACACCCATTAGCACGTGTGGTCAGCCGAATGAATCGAACCAAATTAAACCGAAAAAAACGTGTATGTGCCATTGTTGTGGCAAAACATCGAAGCCAGAAAACGTGATATATCGTGATCTATGACCTGATGATGATGATGATGTGATTGTTGCGTGATTACAATACTAAAATACATAATACAGCTCATCATTTACCAGATATTTACGATACAAGTGGTGCCAATTCATAACGTTAAAATTTTAATTTAAAACTAGTGTCGCCATCTGTTGACGACGACGCCTATATTTACACATTTTTGAAATTTTTGACGCCGTCGATCACCTGTTGAATATGCTCTGATTTGTAGTTACTATTACTGTGAAAGGATGGCGCCGGTTCTGATCAAATAGTTTATTTTAATGATAACAGGTAGCAGCACATGCACATCAAATTGATTAGCAATAATTTGTAATTCTTGTAAAAATAACGGCACAAAACCAGCACCATCCGTTTTCTCGACTAGCAGTTTGCTCATCATGTTCACAAAGTACGTATCAGCTGTGGCTGCAATTGCCATTAATTTCAATCATCAAACTCAATTGAATTGAATTTTTATTTAAATTGTAATTGTCAGAAGCGAAAACGACTGGCTTAAATAAATGGCATGATGATGATGATGGTTTGAAAGAAAACGCATTGCTCGTTTGGAAACAGCGACGGCTATCCACTGAATGAATGATGCAAGATGGCATGAAAGTGGTAAACAACAAAATGAACAGCCCGAACAAACAAACGAACCAACCAACCAATCAACCGACCAAAGTAAGAAAAAAAATGAATGAATAATATGAATGAACGAATGAATGATGATGATGATGATGAAAAAACGATTCAAGCTGCCAGCTGACAGGAGCGAGATCACCGATTTTTCACTATTCACTGGCCGAGTCTCCATAAATTGTGCGTGTCTAATGTTCATGTGTGTGTGTGTGTGTATTGTGTATTTGTGTGTGCTTTGTTCACAATGATGAGAATATATTCGGCAAGAAAGAGTGTGTTGTTTTTTTTTGGTGAGTTTTTTTCTTTCTTTTTTTTGATTCATTTTGTTATTGTTGTTGTTGATTCCATTTTTTTCACATTCATTAGCTTCCAACATTGTTTATTTTATTGAAATTCGTGATTTTACCATTTTCAATTTGATCATCAAATTAATGAATCTCTGTGACCGACAAATTTAATCAAACCGAAATCACATCAATCTAAAAGGTATGTCGAAAGAAAACTGACTTTCTATATAAATCAAGCTTAATGATGATTATAATTACCTAAATGGTCTATTTTTGTTTTAATTGAAAAATATTCGAAAGGCAAGAATTCGATATTTATTTAATCATTATTGATTCATGAATTGTTTTCGGTCATTTTTGTATTTTGTTTTTAACAATTTTCTGTTGATGACCGCACTCCGCGTTGTATGTGGCCAATAGCAAATATCGAATATTTGACCACAAGCCGAGTTGACCGATTGTCACTCTGTAGTATATAGTAATAAAATGATAATAATTGTCATTTGGCTTCGTCAAATGTGCCTCAAGCCTTTTTGGATCGGTGTTTTTTTCTCTTTTCTTGTCCGTCATAATCATATTCACATGACAACAAGAATTATTCGTTTATTTAGGTCCGAACACTTTTTATGATATGTGTTTTTATTGTGTCCACCCTATTAAAATCTCTTTTATCTTGAATATTTTTTTTTTTTTGAAGGTGTGAAATGTACAAAAACACAACACCTGTAAAATCACTCGAATAATTTGATCGTTAGATCCTAGTTCGGCCACAATAGAAAATAAAAACAAGAATCGACTCATGATTCATTTCTTGTTGTCATTCTAACTTGTTTTTTCACCAAAATCAAGATTTCTGTCCATAATTGAGCTAATTGTTTCAATTTATAATCGCCGGAAATTACGCCCCAAAAAGACATCAAGTGTATTGATGTGTGTGTGTGTGTGTGTCGGAAATCGTGGGCGAATATTTTTTTTTCTCTCGTTTTCATTTTTATCAATGGGATGAAATTTGAAAATTTGCAAGCTCCGAGATTCCTTATTTAGAATATCAAGTTTTGTTTGACAATCGTATTGGTGGTTTTATGTGTATACAAATACAACACACATATACAAATTGTGTTTACATTTTATGTTTAGAAATTCATCTCGTTAAATTGTAACAATTTTTTCTTTTTCGATTAATTTCTGATTTTTTCTTTGCAGCTTTATCAACCACGAAACATGAAAATGTTTATAATATATAGCCTTTATTATTGTTTTTGTTATTTGTTTTTGATCAACCAAATTTCCTGTGATGATGAAATTTTATCCAATTTCGATGAACAAAATGACAGTATTAACATTAATGATGATGATGAATGGACAAAAATTTTATACATTACACCGATACCATCACCATTCAAGCAAGAATATTTCTTCTTCTATCGAACCGTTCATATATAACAATAACAATAATAATAATGTTGCCAAACGGAAATTACGAAAACAACAACAACAACAACAACAACAAATGAAAAACAAATCAAAAAATCATCATTATCGTAAACATAAACATCGACATCGATTACAACGAAAATTTATGAAATTTCTTAGACAACAAAATCTTATATTAATGAAAAATAATGGCGATAAACATCTGAAATCATTGGATAACAAGACAATGAAATCAATGTGGAGAAATTTTTCTAGTCATTATTATTCACAAAATCCAATGTTACCATTTTTTGAAAATTATTCTTATGGTGTACAACCGATGATCGATGAATCAATATCGTCAATTGATCAAAATCAGTTTAATCATCATAAACGTCGAAAAAATAATTCATCACCAACGAAAAAACCAAACATTATATTCATTTTGACCGATGATCAAGACATTGAATTAGGATCAATGAATTATATGCCAAAAACCATGAAAATAATGGCCAATCAAGGTGTCCACGTGAAAAATGCTTATTCAACTACTCCGTAAATTAATTTTATTCTATAATGAATTGTTTCAAAATGTTCTTTTTTTTCTTCTCACACAGAATGTGCTGTCCTAGTCGTAGTTCAATATTAACCGGTCTTTATGTCCATAATCATAATGTTTATGTGAGTTGAACCTGGTTAAACCATTTTTTTAAAAATAAAATTTTTCCATTTCAGACAAATGGTGAAAATTGTAGCTCAACACAATGGCAACAAACACATGAACGTCAAACATTTGCCACATATTTACGGGATTTTGGTGGATATCGTACCGCTTATTTTGGTAAATATCTGAATGAATATAATGGTAGCTATATACCACCCGGTTGGTCCGATTGGTCAGCATTGATCAGAAATTCTCGTTATTATAATTATACATTGAATGTTAATGGTGATAAAATTCGTCATGGTTTCGATTATCATCTTGATTATTATCCAGATCTAATACTGAATGATAGTCTACAATTTATTCGTTATTCAAAACGTTTTTTCAATTCCAAACCTTATCTAATGGTATTGTCATTTCCATCACCACATGGGCCAGAAGATTCAGCACCACAATATCAGAATCTATTTATGAATGAAAAAAGTCATAGGTTTGTTCAGAATAGAAATTTGAAATTGATAAATTTTTCATTAAATATATTTACTTTATTGTTTTTAGGACCATGAGCTGGAATTATGCACCAAATGGCGATAAACAATGGCTATTACGGAATACGGACAAAATGAGCCACATTCATCAGGAATTTACCGATTTTTTGAATGCAAAACGTTTACAAACATTACAATCGGTCGATGAAGCTGTAAATCAAATATTTCAAGAGCTTAAAAATTTAAATGAACTTGGTAAACACAGTACACTTGTTTGTTTACACATTACATAACAATGATCAAATCGTTTTGTTTAGATAACACATATATTATTTACACTTCTGATCATGGATATCATCTGGGTCAATTCGGTCTAGTCAAAGGAAAAGCAATGCCATTCGAATTTGATATACGTGTTCCATTTTTTATTCGTGGTCCAAATGTTCCATCTGGTAAAATGTAAAGAGTTTTTCATTATAATTTTATGGAGATTATATATTATTAAAACATGTTTTTTCTATTTATAAAACTAGATTACAGCAAATAGTTCTGAATATCGATATTGCGCCAACATTGTTGGATATTGCCGGCATAAGAATACCAGAACATATGGATGGTATATCATTTTTACCATATATCCGATTGTTAATGAATGAAAATTCTTCTGAGAAGAATTTCGAACGTTTGAAATTGATGAAAAGGGATACATTTTTAGTGGAAAGAGGGTATGTGTTTTGGAAAAATTTAATTTTTCACTTTAATCATGTCGTCGGTTTATTTATTCAGGAAATTTCAAACATTCAATAGCCATAATAAACACAATAATATTGATCGTCTATTGATTCCAATTGTTGGGAAAAAACAATGGCTACAATTTCAATGCCTGAAATCGGAATATCAAAGTCCTTGTCGTGCTAATCAACGTTTCGAATGTTTCGTTAATATTAATGGTGTACAACGAATTCGTAAATGTCCATCAATCAATCGTAAAAATTTTATTCGTTCACAAAAAAATTCACAAGGTGAATGCATTTGTCCACCATTATCGACCACAAGTGTTTTAAAAAGAAATATCGATTCGATACGAACACTAAAAATGGATTATCATCATCGACGTCTGAAAAAGATGCGACGCAAACAGCAACAAAAGCGTGAAATGAGATCTAAAAATTTTTCAAATCGTGCGCGTCGAAGTGATAAATTTGTTTTACGCCTCCCGGATAATAGATTATCAATCGATATTGATTTTGATGTTCAAGGTGTTTATGAAATGAAAAAATTGATTGAAATTTCAAAATCATCCAGTTTATCGATTGAATCGAATAATAATAATTCTAACCACGATAATCGATTATTGTCGCCGAACAATAATAATAATTTGGCCAATATTACTACTAGCCAACTGGTATCGATACTAGACAATAATAATCCTGATGACTATGATACATTCGCTGACCTGGCTAATTATACCGATTATCTAAATCGTACATTTTGTACAGTAACTCGTAGTAATTTTTCGATAGAATGTTCAGAGGAAATCTATTCAAATCATCAAGTATGGCGTGAAAAGAAAGATTATATTAATGCTGCAATCATTGAATTACAACGACGTTTATCTGAGTTGAAAGGAATACGGAGATATATCAATGAAAATAGGCCATCATCATCATCATCATCGTCTTTGTCGTCGTCGTCGAATCCATTGGTTTTAGGCAAAAAATCAAACCCAAAAATATTGAATGAAGAAAATGAATGTTTTTGTCCGAAATCAATTGCCACCACCACTATCATCCAAGACAATGATGATGATGACAGTGACAACTACAACAACAACAACAACGAAAACAGTGAGGACAATTATTATGATGATCATCATAATAAAGAAATGAACAACGATAACAACAACAAGGAAAATGTTAGTGATCTGTATCACGATGGAATGGGACGACGACGGCTTATTCGACCATCATCATCGATGATGGTCGAATCAAAAATTATATTCATTGATGATGATGATGATGATGTTGGCAATAATCATAATAACAATTATGCTGGCCATCATCATCATCATCATCGTCATCGAACGCCATTCAATCTAAAACGTTGGCTACGGCGTCGAGAGAAGAAAATTCGCCGACAAGATAAATTTGCAAAGACTGAATGTAAAATGGCAGCCAATGGACATATGAATTGTTTCACCCACGATAACGATCATTGGAAAACGCCACCGTTATGGACAAGTAAGTTTTTGATGATAGCGACGATGGCACAACGACAATGGAAACTTATTTTTTTCTTTCTTTTTATTTCTTTTTTCGAATGAAATCCATTCACGACTGTCATCATTAACATCACATCACACTATCGACGTCCTTCCACCACACAAACAAACGAACACACACCACTTATACGACATCCATGAACGAAATTTTTTTTTTTTTTTTTTTTTTGATTTCTTCAATTCACAAAGATGGACCATTTTGTTTTTGCCAAAATTCACTCAACTCTTCATTTTGGTGCATGCGAACCATCAATGAAACACATAATAATTTATATTGTGAATTTGTCACCGGTTTTATTACATATTATGATTTGGATAAGGATCCATTTCAGGTAATAAATACAATGGATTATTGATGTTTCTATTGTTTCGCCATTTAAAAAAAAATCAAGTTAACCTACATATTTTTTTTCTTTCTTTCTCCTCTTTCATTCACACACACACATTTACATTAGCTACGAAACTTGATTTTTGATTTAGATTTTAATGTTGTCGAAGAAATGAGCCGACAATTGGCACGATTAAAATCCTGTTCCGGAGCATTCGATTGTTCCACCACCAATAATGCCGTTTCATCGACAATCGTCGACAATATTCAATCATCAACCAATTTGATTTCAAAGAAAAAAACTTTAAAATCTTTGCCATTTCGAACATCGTCACAGCGATTGATTTCATCGTCAATCAGATAATAGTAAAGAGAATATTTGACAGAGAAAAAAAACACGAAACAATCATCACCATCATATAAATGCGATAAGTGATCGATAAAATGTATATACAATGTATATAAAGGTAAAAACAATCGATTATCTTTCTTTTGAAAGAAAAAAACGTTTTGCTCGTTCAAGCCTAAAGTGACACATGTTTCATTTTGAATTCAATTGAAAACAGAGAGAAATTGAAACAGAATGGTCAAATCATGAGCCCGAATCATGGAAAAGATGTGTGAAAAATAAGGTAATTTGTGTCGATTATATATTTATGATGATGATGATGAATCAACTAACATTTAGTTTTCTGAATAACTTTCAGAGATACCATTCGCTAAAGAACAATTGAATATTGATTTCCATTCACTATAAACGATAATTTGTGGTCGGGAAATTTAGCATTGCATGATAAAAAAAAATGAAGATGAATAAAATCATTTAATAACAATGATATATATGAATAGATCATCATTATTGAAAGAAAATGAAAGAAAGTAAAAAAAGAAAGATTTTCTCCACATTGTCTTTTTTACAAATGAACAAAAAAACCTAAATTTGGTAGTCAAAATGTGATAATAATTCATGACTGTTGTTCGAGAGAAAAAAAACGATTACCCGATGTGGCTATCATCATCATCATCACCATTATTGAATCAATCACACATCAACATTGTGGATGTTTGTAACAAAATACGAGACCACGTGCAATATTATTGTTACCATATTTGTATCTGTATATGATGATGAATCTTGTAAAAAAAAAGAATTTTTCTTCTTTGTTATTGTTTCAAAATATCATCACGATTATATACTAATTTTCTTTGCGTGTATTAAAACATGATGATAATGTAAATGCTTTTAATATATAAATGGCCATTTTGAATGACGATAATGATGATGATAATTGGTTTGAATGAATGATTATCAATAAGTGCCACTGATGAATGAATCAATCTATCCATCAATCCAGTTAGAGAATGGATCATGTGGATTTTTTTTAACGTTTCATTTTCATCATAATATGATTGGATTGGATATAATAATCGTGATAGCTTCTAGCTTTTGTTTTTTTTTTTTGTTCACTCTTCTCATATTCTTTTTTTCATCATCATCATCATGGTGATGATGATGAAAAACATATGAGGAACAAAAAAAAAAAAAATTGCTTATAATGGCCATCTCTCTCTCTATGTAATAAACTGTGAGTGTGTTTAATAAGCAGCAAGTTTTTTTTAAAAAAATGATGCTATTATCTTTAGCCATCAATCAACAAGAAAAATACCAAGAAAAAGACGGTTTCTTTCGATAATGACGAAAAAAAATATATAAATACACGCGTTTAGCTTGTTAGAAAGGATTTTCTTAACACAAAACAAAAGAAATTAAATCCAAATCACTAAAGAATTAGTGGGGAAAAAAAAATTTTTTTTCTTGTCTGATAAAACAAAGAAATGGAATGAGCCATTTTAGAGATTTTCGATCAATATCACAACATCCTCATCATCAAATCGTAATAAATCATTTTTTGTTGTTGTTGTTGTTGTTGTTTAGTATTTATTATTGATCAATCAGCTTCATCGTCATCATCATCATACTGATATATTGATATATAATGAATGAGAAATTGTTTGAAAACAAACGAATGACTGAAAAAATGAAAATTTGTTTTCCATGAGCATGCCTAACCTTATGTACAATAACAACAACAAAAAAAAACAACCACCATCACCGTCATATCATCATCGATTGAAAATTCAGGTAGAAAACAAAAATGATGACGACGATCCATGTGATTATGGTGTGTATATGATCAAATCAATCATCATCGAACAGACAAAAAAAAATAAGCAAATGAATAGAGACCAATATTGACATGAGAAAATATATTTCATATTTTACAATAATCAAATCAATTGTTTAATGCGAATGGGGAAAAAAATCCTTAAGAATCCTTTATTGTGTGTCGATTCAACAAATAAAATTTAAAAAAAAACAATTGAAATCAGGGTAATCTGATTTCGTAAAATTGACCTTGTCGGTTGTGTTGTGTGTGTGTGATTTTTGTGATTCAACAACAACAACAACGGGATACGAGAGAAAAAAACATTTGATGTTTTTTTCCATCCAAACAAACACACACTTTAAAAAAAACCATATACAGGCGAAACCTTATTTATCTTGTCAATTGGCAATTGTAACACACACACACACACACAAAAAAACAAGAAGAAAGTTGGATAGAGAAGAGAAAAAAAAATCACGCAATAATCGATCTAATCAAATTCGATTCGATTCAATGAAAAGGGTGGTGGCAAATTACGAAATATTATATATTCACAAACACACACCCCAAGATTTATTGTTTGAATCAAATTTTTTTTTTTTTTGGTTTTTCGATATTGTTTCGGTGATACCGGTTTGAATTTTTTTTTATTTTGAATGAACAAAAAAAACAAATACAAAGATTGTTTTGATTTAATGTCATTTTTTTTTTTTCAAAGCAAAACATTTTCTATGACAAATCACAAACCAATACATATAATACATATAATATATATCGATTGATGGTGGTCCAATCTGATGATGATGATGATATGAAGCAAATCGACGAAAAAAAAATCAATGAATAAATTTGTTATCAAAAAAAAAAGAACGAGGATACAGATATCAAATATTGGCTAGAATAATAGATTTTGATAAGAAAAAAAGAGGAACAAAGAAAGAAATAGAATGTAGCGACAGGCAGAAATACAAAAAAAAACCTGCACGATACATAGTGAAACACAATGGTCGATTTGGACAAAATTATTCAATCAATTCGATTGAATCAAACATACACACACATAGAGCGAAAATAATAACCAAAAATCAAACTTTTCAATCAAAGAAAGAAGCAAAATACAATGATACCTGTGTATATGTGTGTGTGACTTGAATTGATTGTAGCCACAGATAATGGCATATGGAATACAGGAAAAAAAATAAAATGAATCAAAATTGAGATCGATAGATAAACTATATATATCATTATCAGAATTCATTATCATTGACGATGATGATGGTGTCAATTGTCAAAGATTGATTATGCACAAACACACACACACACACACCGCCGCATAGACAGACAGTGAATGAATACATTTTATGGTCACAAAAATTGAGTGATGACATTATTATCATCATCAACAACAACAACAAAAAGAAATGAAAAAAAAATTTAATGATCATTATCATTGTATGACAATCAACAACAAAAACAAAAAAAAAAATCACAAATGAGACATAAAGTTATCGAGAAAAAAAATTGCCAATCAATGAAAAAATAGCCGATTATTCTAATGGAAAATTTTTCTGAATCATTGAATAAACGGAGAACAGAAAATAAAAAAAATGATCAATTCATTTGCAAACACGGAATTGGTCAGATAAAGTGAAATTGTTTGCAATCATCATTTAAATAATTATATATGGTCATTATCATCATCATCGTCGTCTTTAGGCTGTTTTTTTACTTGATGAATTTCATAAAAAATCAACATCAAATTGGAATATATTTTTTTTTTGTTTTCGAAAATTGTTGTTCAAATAGGAAAAATAATATGTCAAAATGAAGGTTTTATAGTTTATGAAAATATGGAAATAATTGTGATGTAAAAAACAAAACAAAACAAAAAACAATCATCATCATCGTCGAACAAAACAATTGGCACCATCATCATCCAATGATGTTGATGCATAATTGACTACTATTCGTCCATTATCCATCATCAGTGAATTCAATAACGACAAAGACATTGATTTGTTTCAATCAAATTCATTCATACACGTTGTGAGTATGGGCAAAGATTTTTTTTTCAATTTACATTATTATCATCATCATTCGATATATTCAATCATCGATTCTATTAACTAAACAGTATGACAATAATCAGACCAAGAAAGCAAAAAAAAAAAAAAATCATCAGCATCTGTATCGATGTCTAAATAAATAAATAAATGAATACAAATCAAAATGATGAATATTCCGGATATTTGTGGTTGATTATCATCAATGTGAAATCAATGAAAAAAAGTATCAAGTCATTTATCGATAAGATCTTTGTAAATATGTAAAGAGACATTTCATTTCATTTCATCATACACACACACACAAACGACAAGACATTATGGTTGTGAAGAAAAAAAAACAACTTTTTTCTTTGGTAAAAAAAAAAAATTGTCGTAGATATGATTCGATGAAGATCATCATCATCATCATCGAATGCAATAAATTGTCGCCAAACACATTTGCATTCAATTTTTTTACCATGTACATTTTTTTTCTCAGTTGGTTCAATCAAATCAATCAATTTAAACGAAACGAAGAAAAAAACAACAACAACAACAACAACACTGACAAAACAGAGTTTCGTTAGCTGCTGCCATAGGTTGTTGTTGTTCATTATTTTTTCTTTCGCTTGTTGTTGTTCGTTTTTTCAAGAAGAGAATTTAACTTTAAACAACTACAACAACAACAACAGGCTTTGAATAGAAAGAAAAACTTGGACAACTTTTTGAAACTGTCAATCAAAATGAATGAATGAATAGGGATGAAGAAATTGGTAAAAGAAGAAGAATAATGCATCCATATTTTCATATACATACAAATAAACATCATCAACAATGATGATGATGATGTTGTTGTTGTTGTTGTTGATCATGAAAAAAAACAAGAAAAAGAAAAAGTGATGAAAATTGACATGACAAGAAGGGATTGAATTTTTTTTTTTTTTTTCGAAGAACAACAACAACAACAACAAAAGAGAAACAGAACAGAACCCTGAACAGACAATAAAATGAACAAAGCATCTATCCTATTATGATGATGATGATGATGATTGTCAAACAACAACAACAAAACAGGCAAATGATTTGATTTGATAACAACAAAAATGATGATAATGATAGACAAACTGGTCTGCAAAAATCAAAACAAAATTATTTCATCAAATCATTGAGAAATTCATAAAAAAAAATCAATGGTTATGAATGGTTGGAAGAAAAATTAAGATTGATTCATATAACTTACCAAGGGCAAAAGTTTTTGATGTTGGAATTTTGGGAAACTAAAATGTTTGGAATATAAAATTTTGTATATGATTAATAATGGTAGAAATTTGAAACAAATCATTCATTCATTATTATTATTACCATTGTCATTAAATTTCAATCAAATTTAATTTTTTTTCCAGTTGCAAAATTTGGATCGTTTTTTTTTGTTCTCCACAAACACAAACGACACACATGGTTTTTATACATTTTTTGGGCATTATGACAAAAAAAAAATTCTGATGATTACTTGATGTAAATGATGGTCGAACGAAAACAAAACAAAAAAAAACCTTCATTTGAAGTGGGAAAAAAATTGTCATAAAAGAAAACGGACCATAAATCGAATATAATAATATAATCATTTCAAAACACAAAACGAACTCAAAATGAAAAAAAAAGTTGCAACTCATTATTTAAATCCTTTCACATATCACGTTACACGCCCAAATTTTTTTTTTGTGGCGCTCGCGAGCGTCACAAAAAAAAATATCGCTTAACCAAGTTTAAAAATGAAAAAAAATCAGTGAAATTTTGACCTTTGTTTTGACAAACAAAAATTTTTTTTCGATCCATTCATTTGTTTGATTCTTGATTTGATTTTTTTTGCTCATTTTTCAATTCATTGTGTTTGTGTGTCTGTATGTTTGAATGGAAGGATTATTTATAGAAACAAAAATATAAACAGATTAAAACAAGAACGGATATAATATATGAGATGGTCACGAATATGAACACGTGAATCCACTTAGTGTTGAACAAATTTATTTTTAAATTAGTTTGGCACATGAAACTCCATTTAACCATGATGATGACGTTATAATGATAATGATAAATATTATTATTATTATTCAAACACAACAAACATTTTTCATTCATTCATTCATTTTGAGGAAATGAATGAATTTCGTGGCAATAAAACAAACAAACAAACAAACAAGCAGCAGCAGCAAAAATTAACAAGCGTGCGCGATAACTAGATCAATCAATAACGAATTTTTTTTTTTTTTTTTTTTTGGTTTTGTTATTTATAATATAGAAGATTTATTAATATTTATATAATATATATGAGAACAAGATAGAGAAAGAATAGGAAGATCGAAGATGTAAAGGGGAAAACAATAATATCGATACATCGATTGTATGATGACAAGTGATGAACGATTTTATTCTTTTTTTTGCAGTCTGTGTGTGTGTGTGTTTTCCCTGTGTTTTTTTTTCATAATATTCACGTTTTCATTAGTGTTTATTTTGAAAAGCTGAAAAAAACGATGATGATGATGATGATGATTACAACACGATTGTGGATGAATGAATCAATGGTAGGGTGTGTTCGTGTGTGTGTTGAGAATATGTGTGAACACACCCATCATCGAAAAAAAAAATTTGAACAGAAAAAAATGAGTCTGTGTGTGTGTGTGATTATAAATGAGACAAAAAAAAATATTCAAACAGAAAAAAAAATTCGAAACTTGAAACGGAACAAAACGAGAAAAAAAAAGAAGATATTTATATGTACGGTGAGATGAGATGAGATGAAATCAATTGAATTCCACGAATGGAAGAGATGTTGGTGTTTGGTGTGTGTGTGTGTGTGCGTATGGCGGAAATGATGATACATAACAATAATGAAAGAGGTAATGTTGATATTAAATGGGAGAGAAAAAAAAGGACACAAAAAAAAGTTTACCCCATCCACCACACCCACCCCCAATATTCCATGAAAGTTTTTTTTGTTTCTGGGAAAATTGCCAATTTATTTATTCAATATCGATCATGTGATCATTTTGTGTGTGTGTGTGTGTGTGTGTGTGTGTGTACAGAAAAAAACAACAAAAAAAAACAAAACAAAGCAAAGCAAAAATTCAATGGTTAACAATTTGGACAAAATAATTAATTAGAAAGATTGATTGAAAATAATTGTTTAATAATGATTGATTTTTGTTAATAATAATAATATAATAAAAAAAAAATGGTGGGTTTTCGATTGTTTGGTATGTTTATTGTTGTTGTTGTTGAATGCTGATCAGCAAAAAAAAGGTCAGCAATGAAACAAAAAAAAAATTTAAAATTTAAAATAAAATTTATAAGAAAATAAAAACGAAACGAAATAAAAAAAAAACAACGATGAATAGAAATTGAAAATGAATTTCACTTGGCAACACATTATAATCAGAATTTGGAGTTGAGTGGACGTTTTTTTCTGTTTTCTGTTTTTTTTTTTTTGCTTTTATCAATTATATATCATCATCGATCATTTGACCAGAAAAAAAATATACAAATTCAAGGTTCGAATATATTTACCATCAGTCTCTGAGGAAAATAAAACAAAACAAAACAAAAAAAAAAATACAAGAGAAAATGGCATTGGCAATCAGAAAATGTGTCATGTTTTTGAGTGTATGATGATGATGGTGGTGGTGGTGGTGGCAGCATTTTATTGAGATATTTTTTTGTGTGTGTGTGCGCGTTTTGTGTAACAATGTCAATATGGTGAAAAAATTATTGAAATTCTTTCGATTGATCGATTCGGACACACAAATACACACATACACACACACACACAATCAATGATATTGACAGAGATCGTTTTCCGTTTCCTGTTTCGTGTGTCCATGTCCATGTCCATGTTCTTTTTTTTGGTATTTCGGGCGAGTGTTTTTTTTTTCTTTGTCGTTGATTTTTTTTCAGAAGAAGAAGATGTTGTTGATAATGATCGATTGCAATTTCGATTATTATTGTTATATTCATGAATGAATGAATCGAGGGGATGCAAAAAAAAACAACGGTTGAGTTTTTTTTTTTGAATTGAGTTGAGTCAAGTTATGCTGAATGAATGAATGAATGAATGCGGAGACGATATTTTGAGGAATTGAATATTTTCTAGATAGAGAGAGAGAGAGAGAGAGAGGAAGCAGAAAAAAATCTTGTGTGGATGATGAATGAATAAAACGATGGTGAATGGTGATGATGATGATGATGATGATGATAGGTAATGTGTGCTGGATGATTCTGATTCTGGATTTTTGTCGGTTTTCTTGGATTCTGTATGTATAAATTCTATGAAAATGGCATGGAAGAACGGAAATGATGGTGACAATGATGATGTCTTTGGCCCATTAATGTATGAAATTGTTTGTCGTATATATTAATATTAATATATATGGCTTTTTTTTATTTTTCATCCCATCCAATCCATATTTGACATTTCAAATGGAATCGAATCGAATCGAATAAAGCACCGAATTAGACATGAATAATGATAGATTATTCTCACAATGATGATGATGATGATGATGGTTTTCATGTGGTCATTTTGTTGTTGTTCAAGAATATTTTTAATTAATAAAAATAGAAAATTTCTTCTCATTTCTTTCTCTATTTCTTCAATTTTTTTTTATAGATAGAAATAAATTTTTTATATAATAAACACACACACACACAGAACAACATGTGTCGAGCAGAAAAAAAATCATTTCAACATGACAATATAATATGTAGAGAGAGAGAGAGAGAGATTAAATTATCGATTATTGATTGATTGATATTGATTATTGAGAATTTTAACGGTAATATGATAATAATATAATGATGATGAGCAAATGAAACAAATGGTGGTGGTTTGTGAAATAAAATCAGTCATTTGTTTGTTTATTTTTTGAGAGAGGATGGTGGTGGTGGTGGCGGCGGCGGTAAAATTGAGGAAGAAAAACAGAAACTTGAGATGATGTATGTGTGTGTGCGTGTGTGTGCAAATAGTTCAAATTTCAAGAGTTCACTATACATATTGTCGATCAATTAATAAATTGATCAAAAATCATCATCATCTTCTTAATGGACGAATTTCATAAAGCAAACAAAAAGCAAAAAAAAAAGCAAAACAAATGGCGAATGTGAATCAACAGCAATCAAACGATATGAATGAATGAATGAGAAAAAAAATGTCATGTCGAGTAATAATCTTATTATTAGTCGTATGTGTAGCAAAATATATATTTATAATCCTACTAATTAATTAATCAAAATTCCATGATGATTTAGAAACATGAAAAAAAAACAGAAACTGACCTAAAGATGAGGTATATGATTCTTTGTGTATTTTTTGTGCATGTGTGTGTGTTTGTTTGTTTGAAAACGATTATTTGGAGGATACGGAAGAATTACATTTAGATTATTCTGTGTGCGATTCATACATAAAGGGTTCATCATCACCATATAAATGAGAAGAAGAAAATGAGGCAAAAAAAATGAATTTGGACGTATTTTTTTACGACAGTTTTCGTTTGTTTTTTTTTCTCAACAACAGAATCAGTGTTTTGATTGCGTTTGTTTTTTTTCTGTGATGAAAATGTGAAAAAAAAATTCCGAGAATGAGCATTTTGTTTCAAGTTGTCGTGTTTTTTTTCTGTTTCTTTCATTTTTGATTTTCTGTTGGTGCTGAAATTTTTCCGATTCATTTCCATCAATCAATCAATCAATCAATCGGTAAATCTTGAACAAGCTTTTTTCCATTTACATTGTGTACACCATGAATCTTTTTTATCCATACCATATACTTTACGACATTTACGTGTTTCACCACGTACACGTTTTGTTGGCGATGTACGATGTTGTTGTTGTTGTTGCTGTTGTAATAATGTTGCTGTTGTTTGATTATTGGCATTATTAATATTTGATGGTAATGTTGTCGAGGTTGTTATTGTTGTTGATGATGATGATGATGATGATAATGAACCATGATGTTGCTGGTGATGATTATGATGATGGTGATGATGATGATGATGATGGTGACCATTATTACGGCCACCATTTAATGATGATATTCGTAGATATTTATTACCAGCCGTTATTGATGATGATGATGCCGATGCTGCTGATGATGATGACGATGATTGTGATGTAAATGAGCCTGAATGTGAACGAGATGTTGGTGAAATTGGACTAAAACATGATGATGATGATGAACCACCACCATTACCACCATTATATGATCCAAAACCGCTACTACTAAATGAGCTAGCAATAGAATTAAAACCACCAAATGATGATGAACTAAGAATCGATGATGGTTGTGGTGGTGAAGAATGACTAATTTGATTCATATCCTGCATATGATGATTATTATTTGGAATGTTTATTGGATGTGATGATTGAATCAATCCAATGGCAGCGGTGGTTTGTTGTTGTTGTTGTTGTTGATTATTATTGTTGGTGGGTTTACGGCCACGACGATTAATAACCGTTGTTGTTGCTGTATTCGTTGGAATACCTGTACCAAGTATCGATATACCGGCAGGATCTGGTTTTCTATTATATTCATGATCCTCTAGGTGGCGATAAGTGTTTTGTACCGGTATAAATGATACTGATGAAAATCTATTATTTTGATAATGATGATTCGGATTAATGATATTTGTGGCAGCATTGTTGTTGATGTTCATCGTTGTTGCTATTGGTGATGGTGGATTCGATGATGAATCCATTGAATTATCTCCATGTATAGACATCATAGCACTACTACTACCACAGCCACCACCACCACCACCACCACTGCTACTACTGGCACTACTTGCTGCATCACCACATTCAGAAACGGAAACTGGTGATTCAGGACCCGATGATAGATTATGATGATGATAATGATTAATGGAAAATGCTGGATGACCACCACCACCACTACCAGCACCATTAGCACCTTTTGTCAATGTTGCTATTGCATCAGCATTGATTATTGGATCAAATGTCACATCTTCTTCGGTATAATAAAATTCTTCATCACCACTCATCATTTCTTCATCATCATTTTGTCTAAAATTTATAAAAAATGGCAAAAAAAGAAAAGGATGGAAAACAATAAGAAAAAAAAATAAATCATCATCATCATCATTATTGAGGCCATTCTCATCATTAATAATAAGAGAGACTAAAAAAAAAACAACAACAGAACATGTAATTTTTCACATACTTTTGTAAATGTTCCAAACGGACATGTTGTTCAATTTCACGTAGAACAAATGTTCTATGTTTACATCCACGCCATGTACATTTGAATAATTTGGTGGGTGTTGTTCCTGTTGGTTTATTTTTTATTTACAATTTTTTTTTTTGAAATGAAAAATATCGAAAAAAAAACTTACGGTGTTGAAATTGTTGCTGTTCATTCATCATTGCCGTAAACAAGGTGGGTGAACGAGGTGAAGCCGAAAGGCTCATCAAAACCAAAGCGGCAGCACATTCATCCATAACAACATCTTCGGATGAACCATCACCAATCGATATTGTTGATGCACATTGTATTGTTTGCTGCTGCTGCTGCTGCTGCTGTTGTGGTTGTGTTGGACGTCGTTTTCTTCCGGATCTAAATTTTTTCAATTTCGTTTGTATCACATATGGAAAATGATATGGATATGGATATAAATAATCAATATTAGAAGATTGATTTTTTAAATTCAATAATAATAATGATGATGATAATGGCGGTGGTTGTGGTTGTTTTGTTATTTGTGGCGGTGGTCGTAATATAAATTGATTTGATGATTGTAATTTCATCGTAATTAATAATGACCAGATTCGATTCAAGTTATAATCAATTAAAATTCATTAACAACAGCAAAAAAAAAAAAAATAAATTCAACAGTGTGTAGGTTGTTGTTGTTGTTGTTTCACATCGTTTTATTTTCTTTTTTTCTTTCTTTTTCTTGGAATTTAAACATCAACAATCAAAAACAGTAAACAGTAAACAACAAAATCAACCGGCATTGAACGGCGGCAAAAATTCAAATGGCGCCAAAAAAAATGAACGAATTGAAAATGAAAGAAAATAAAATTATCACCACCACCACCACGACCATAATATACAAAAAAAACCATGATCCATCACAGCAAAAAAAAAAAAATTGTGTATAAACTGGTCTCTCTCTTTTTTTTACTGTGTGTGCACGTTAAAGTTATTTTTTCTCACTTTTTCATTTCATTTTTTATATTTCATTGAATCTCTTGATTATTACAAGAGAAAAAAAATGAAACTGAAACTGAAACTGAAATGAAATGAAAATACAAATTTTTTCTCTCTCTCGAACACTAGCAAAAAAGAAAATCAGTGCTGGCCAATATTCAGTGTGGCTGTGTCAAACAACAACAACAACAACAAAAAATATATATATTGGCCACTGATGTGATTGGTCGCCAATTTTGGGCGCCAAATTGAATAACAACAACAACAACAGCAAAAGAAGAAATGGCAGAAAACTTGAAATAATAATGACCATCATCATCATCATCATTTTGGACAACAACAACAAAAGTAACAACGGATCAAATCTCAGAAGCTATATGGTGGCCAAGAAATAAAAAGAAAAAAAAAGAAAGAAAAAAAGCTTTCAATTCAACAATTTTTATTTTTTTTTTTTTTTTGCGAAACACAATTGTATGTTTCATTTGTGAATTAATGATAGAGAGAGAGAGAAAAAAAATGAAAATAATGATGGAAAGAAACGAAAAGAGAAAGTAACGTGTGTGTGTGTGTGTGTATGTGTGATGGTAGTGTTATAATAATAATAATCATTAGATATGTCGTGTGCATGTGAATTTTGATTTCAAATGAAAAAAAAAATGAAAATGTTAAATTAATTCATTCCCGGGTTAAATCATCGAATTGATTGATCGATTGCCGTTGTTGTTGTTGTTGATGTTAGAAAAACATATTTTTCCAAGAATAATAACAAAAACATTGATGATATTCCGAATATTAAAAACAAAAGAATTCACCCATTTTGGGTAAACATCCTGACAACAGATGAAAATTCAATAAAATCCAACAACAACAACAACAACGAAACAGTAGACAAATGCAAAATGCAAAATAGAAAAAAAAATCTATAAACCATGATGATTATTATTATATTACAACTGTCGAATGCAATATATATTTATTTATATATGCTGCACACATTGCATTTTCATTTTCATTTTCATTTTGAACACCAATATAAATTGTCAAATGTGGTAAATTCACATTTCCAATTTCACATTTGTACTGCATAATATAGACATAGATAGATATATATACACATTATTAATTTTCGTGTCCATTGTATATGATTAATGAATATTGTTTTGTGGTGTTGCAAAAAAAAAAAAAAAAAAATGAAGATTGATCAATAATACAACGGTATGCGTGTGCATGTGCATATGTGAGTGTGCACGTTATGGAAAAATCAACATAAAAAAAAGATGTACAGTTATTATGACAACACCTGTATATATGTCATTCATGCACAGTGAAACAAAAAAGTATCACTTACAACGAACACAACGAATACACAACGTTTGAACAAGAAGAAAAAAAAATTTTTTTTTTTGGATTTAAATTTTCAAACAAATTCAACTTTCGACCTAACATATACACCACAAATCATCATCATCATCATCATTATAATAGGATGCTAATGATATGGCTATTAGCAGCTAACAGCAGCAGTAGTAGCAGTGGTAGTGAAAAAAAAAACGAAACAAGAGCCGATTAGAGAGAATACCTGTATAATAAAAAGGGATATATATCAGTATCATTCATTCCATTCCATTCCATCAATCAATCAATCGATCGATCGATCAATGTTAATGTTGATCAATCGATAATAACAATGAAAAAAAAGTAAAGAATTTGGAATTTATTTTACTACATCATCATCATCATCATCATCAAGATGCAAGATTAGGCAGAATTTTCGTTTTATATATGGGACAAACAAAACAAAACAAAACAAACAAAAAGTCTTGTGTGTGTTTGTTGTATTATTCTCATCGAATATAACAAGAATTGATGATGATGATGATGATGATGATTATCGAAACAAAATTCAGTCATACACACAGGAATCCAAGAATGTGGATGACAAACGATTTGAAATAAAGAAAGAAAATGGAAAAGCAGCTTATACAAATACTACACACACACAAACAACAGCGATTACTACTATAGTAGGACATTATTGTTGTCGAATCAAGTTTTATTTTTCATTGCTAAGCTCAGCAAAAAAAAAACACATCGACGTCCGTCTTGATCGCTTTCCGTTTGTTCCGTTGAAAATGAACGGTTTTGGATTTTTTTTTTCGTTGATGATAAATTCATGCCAACAACAACAACAACTATGAAAATTGTGTTTTTGGTACACACCAAAAATGGCCAATCCAAAAAAAAAATTATGACGAAAACGGAAAAATTTTTTGTTTTTTCTTTGCCTAATTCAACATGAACAAAATGATATTCATAAACAAATTGACAAATTGTAAATGTGATGAGTGGTGGTGGTGGTGGTGGTGGCCACCTTGTCTGTTTATTTGTGCATTTTATTCATTCATTGGATTGGATGTGTGTGTGTGTGTTTTCAACCAAAACGCCACAAAAAATCAACAACAACAACTCGGGAACTGAAATATAAAATGAAAAATACACTTTACCAGAAATTGTAATACAACAACAACAACAAAAAACTATGCAGCCGTGGAAACAACAACAACAAACGAGACAAAACAAAAGGCGACATATATCAAGCGAGAAGAAAATGACAATCTTTTTTTCTATTTACTATTCATCCTTCAACGGCAACAAAAAAAAAGAGAAAAAAAATTTCATTTCCGTTTTTATTTATTTCGTTGTAGTGTTAATTTTTTTTTCTCTCTCATTCCACCAAATAATAATAACCAGGACAAGACAAAGACAAATTTTCTGTTGTTGGTGCTGTATATTTTTTTTTATTTCTGGATCATTGTCATCACTTGGCTGCCATCATCATCATCATCATCACATTCGATATAATTATTATCAATTGGTGCCAATGTCAAACAAAACAACAACAAAAAAAAATTTGAATTCAGGCACACAATGATCCAGATTGAATTATTATTGAATAACAATGACAATCAGAAAGAATCATCATGAGTTGTTGTCAAACAATTTCAAATACTGTGTGTGTGTTTGCACAAAGATATGGAGATCAAAAATAGAAAAAATTCAATCATCGGTCCTGGAACAGGCAATGAGACATTCATTGAAAAATGCAAAACAACGACGACGACGACGATGAATAAATTCAATTCATATCAACTCATAATAGGTTATGAATACATTTGAATCACATTAAACAAACAAACAAACAGAATAGAAAGATCATTATCAACGGAAAAAAAGCTAATAATAATTAATTATGGTCGATGAATGAAATATTCATTCATTCATTCATTCACAGTGTTCAAACTGTGTTTTTAATGCGCAAAATCCAAAAATGTAAAATGTAGTAAATACAAACACAACCAAACAACACGGTTTCCAAATTTATTTGAAATATACCAGAAAAAAACTGAATAAATAAAATATGTAATGGCAAGTCACAAGTGTTGCAAAAAAAAAAAAATCTGATTCAGGAAACATGGATAGAGGGCAGTAGTGAATGATAGAAATTTGACAAAAAAAAATTTGAAATAATCATTGGACCGAATCATAAATGATGATAAAAAGTGTTAAAACAACAAAAAGCCCATTATAGAATTTGTAAAACGGTCAACTGTGGTCAAACAGTGATTTGTTTGAATGGAGAAAAAAAAACACGTGTAACAAACAACGTATTATTAATGATATGATGCATTGTATAAACAAATGGAAAGAAAAAAAAACAATGTATAAACCTGTCATATTCACATCAAAAAAAATGTGAAAAAAAATTTTTTTTCAAATCCACAAAATTTTGGCGAAAAAAAAGCACTGAAATTTTCTTGTTTACAAAAATGAATGAATAATGAAAAAAAAAAATTCGTAAACCTTCGAATAAATTAATGGATTTTATCGACTATAATTCAAACACACATAAATCACCTATATATAAAATCATATCATAATCAGTGAATGGAGGCGATTAGTGATTTTTGCATTAATTTTCAAAATTTTCTTTTGTTCATTTCACCAATTATTATAATTCATAAATGACGTATGTCGCCCTCCAGTGCAAGATTATTATTACAATTTTTTTTTCTAGTTTCAATCTACATTTGTTGTTGTTGTTGTTGTCTATTCACATCATTCATACAAAAGGCAATCCCAGCAATTATAAATCATGGATTAATTATACACCACCGCCGCCATAAAGTATTCGTATAAGTTAATCGTTTTTGTCGTAATTCAGAAAAAATTAATAAACACTGATCCTGTCTGAACTGAAGAGAAAAAAGTAAAATCTCAACATGTTCAAATGAAATGAAATGACCAAAAACTACGAAAATAATCAGTGAGAATGAACAAAAAAAAGGTCATTAAGCATTTGATTATTATCATTATTAGGCCATTGTGTAGAAGTCAAAATGGCCATATAGCACCAACAATAATGATATATAACTCTATATGTGAATATGTCGTCGTTGGTGATATATGAAATGAAAAGGTA